AAAGAACACAGTAAAACACTATGACGATATCACTTGGTCTTAAAACGCTGTTAGGATATTCACAGGAATATCCCAAAAATCATCTCGAATGTAAAGTGGCATGTTTTCAGACTCTTCACATATTTTACATGTTATTTCCTATTGGTCATTAATTACAGTTGTCCTAACTATGACTTTCACGTGTCGTTTTCCTATTGATCAATTTTGAGTTGTCCTAATTATAACCTTTACGTGTCCTTCCTTTCCACTGGTTACTGTTAATAGTCATCTTAACTGTATAAATATGCCTTGTCTGTAAACCATTTTTTTTCTGCTGCTGACCCCATAAACAATTCTCATTTAACGGCTGTGTTCTGATTTATTGGAGTTGGGGAACAGTATTGGTGTCGAACTAGGCTATCTGAATTTGGTCAATCGGTAGAATTTCGTGTAGTCCTACGTAATATTTGGGCAATTTATAACAAACGCCCAAGAAAATCTAAAAAAGTATGATTACTTAGTTCAATCTTATATCACAAAGTCGACTATGATTGCATTATAGTTATTCATGAAAGCTTCTAACATCGCTTTAACAGAAACAAAGAAATGAAACATGTTACGTAATTAAAATATACATAACCATTTTCACAAACAAACAATCAGCAAACACTTTCAGAATTTGTAGTAACTCAATTGTAATTTATGCACTTTTGTAACATCACAAATGACTGACAATCATTGTTATTTTTGACTGTTTTACAAATACAAAATACTACCGATTTAACTCAATCAAACATAATTCTTATTATTACTTTAGTAAAATGTTTAACAATAATTAACGATCTTTGTTTTCAATGCCTTGAAGAATAGATACTTCAGCATTTATATTCATCTACTGAATTTTTACATATCAATAAATCTAAACTTTTTCTAAACATCGGTTAAATATATACAATTGTTCTTTGCAGCTCATCTTCAAAGTTCGACAGTGGATCAGGTTGGCCATCATTTTATCAAGTTCATGGATCAAACGGACGTGATGATTCTCAAACAAATGTTATTAGAACAGAAGATAATTCACTTGACTTGATGCGAATAGAAATCTCATGTAAACAGGTATGTATGTGTTCACTAAAAAGTATAATGTCTTACTTTGTATTCGGTAGTATTTAATAAATAAATATCATTTGCATGTTAAGAGAAATAATTGTCTCAGCATTTTTTCTAAAATAACAGTTTAGTGGTAGGTATTCTACATACACTGCAAAAGTTGATCACCTTGGTTGAAAGTAAAGAAATTTTGTTAAAATCTTGACTAATTTCCTATATGCATTAAAATAACATAGATATCTTGTCATCAGATACAGTTCTTGAAAAAGAACGAAGAGAGCGAAAAAAAAGTTTTTTAATTAATTTTTTCATCATAGCCTTTCACTAATTTATGTATGTCTAATTGACACCAATGAAATAATACTCATCGAGTAGTTGCGTAACGTAGTAATTATATATCGTGTAACAATGATTACAAAATAATATTGTGGGTTAAAACAATCTCAGTAATTATCTGAGAAATTAAACAGTTGATACATTACATAGTGAATAACAGAAATTAACACAATACTTTGATGAATGGTCAGTATTAGAGTAACTACGTAAGAATCAAGAAACAGATGTTGAGAACATTGAATTGCAAAAGTAAAAGAAATTAGAAAATTTGTAGAATATTTTCAAAATAGGAGGTTTGATCGAAGTTTGATAAAACTTATGCTTATACCGATGGGCAGGATAGGGAGAGCGGTTGTACAAACTTCTTTTGGATACATAGGTCAAGTTTGTGAACACGAATTCTCATAGCTACAGGAATGTGCAACAGCTGAACTAAACCGTATGGTAAATGCAATGAAATATAGTAAATAACTTTAAATGCTTTATTTAAGTTAACTTGACGTCCTATGTCCACCAAATGAGCGAGGATAGAACTTCTACTTTTCCTTTACCCAACTAAGATGGTTGGTGTCATGACAGACATTTTGGACGACGCGCCCTTTATAACTGTTTCCACAGGAGCAGATGAATTGATAAATACACATGGACGTGACGAATTCAGGCTGTCCGTGTTTATTGATTATTTTGATTACCGGACAATTGTAGAGACCGCATTCAGTTCAACTTTAGTAAATGTTTACTGCGCTTCGTTTCTTAACCTTTGAGTTATGGTTTACCCGGTAACATCGCTTAGAAATAGTAATTTTAGGAACAGTAACTTTTGAATGGTAGTTACTTTCAGTCTTCTTTTCATTTCATTCATGTGTTTGTAGATGCATCCCGTTGTATATCCATTTTTACTAAGCAGGTTACGAATACTAGTTAATTCCTTTACAATTGTGTCACACAATGAGTCGGAATATTTATTAATTTTCTTTCATATCTGATTTAATAAGGCCCCCAAATGCCCTGGTACGGCCGAGAGTGGGGAGAGTCCGCTCTCCCTCTCGAAATACTCTCACATGGCCAGCGAATATATAGCCTCTTCCAGAGAAGTCCTACTCACTGCATTCTCGTGGCGTGGGTGTTGTTTACGAAATTGAGAGGACGAAAAGCGAATGTCCGGCGCTATAACCGGATTGGTGGACACGGAGGGTCCACCTAGGGGAGTTGGAAAACCCTGATTCCAAACCAATGGTGCACATGGGCTCCAGTATCCTGAGGGAACAAGTGGCGTACGAATCAACCGTTGATCACCAGCTACCATGGGGCTGTATCTCCTCACGATGTTCCACTGCCTTGTGGATCAGATCTTTCGGTCAAAGGCTCCGGGTGTGGCTCCCTAAGAAAACCACCTGCTTCAGTTTGGGCACCTGGGTAGTATCACAGCCCTCAAGCAAATCGAATGAGATTTGTATGGCGCATATGTATCTGGTGCTTTCTTGTACCAATATTTACGTGTTTAAATAAATAAATAAATAAAATGATTTGTACACTACTATAGAAATAAGTATATTGTCCGACTGTAAACTTTCTATGTATCCCTCTCTTTAATGTCCTATCTACTCCTCTCGTTAGTCGGACATCTAGAGACGATTCGCTATTACTATGTTCCTTTTCAAGTGTAAAAGTATTGAATGGATGAGTGCTATTAAATGTATTGAGTAAATTATCCTTCTCCTGCCTGTTTTTTTAAAACTAAGAAGGTATCATCTACATAGCGACAGTAAGATGATAAATGATAAATTGTGTATTTAAGTGGTTCGCTTTCCAGGCGAGGGTGCAATGGTGACCCCATGACTACCCCATCCAATTTCCTATCGTATTCATTGTCGATACAAAAGTGGAAGTTCGTCGTGCATCTAAGAACTAACTGTTTTATTGCAGATATAGGAATTCAGGTTTCTTTACATCTCTCTATTAGTTCACTTCATATGAAGCAATTTCTTTGTGGAACGTTTTAAGAATTTCCACTAACCATTTTGCTCTTATATGGTAGGCTGAATTATTCATATCGAAACGGGTTGAACAGGCAAGTCACTCTATGTATTTTGGCAGACCTTATAGCCTTGGTGTTATGGTTCCTGTAGGTTTCAACATTTCGAACACGTTTTCCGAAATAAAACCTTGTTGTTTAGTCGGCTTCAATGAGTCTATTGCTTGCTTTTCAATACTGTCTGTCACATTATTCTCATGTGGGAACTTTACATTTCATTTACAATACAAACAGACTTATAATTTTCGGACAGTGGAAGATACAGATGAGTTGTGCTTTATTGGGTGAGCTTCTTAGATTGCAGTGAATTTCAAGCTGACATTAGATTTATCAAAGGTTCAGCAATTGAATGGGAAAAGAATTACAACGTTTCAATCTACAGTTTAGTCCAATCTACAAGGAAATAAACAAATATCAGGATGATGGACCACAAATAAGGTCGCAGAATAATTATGTACTAAACGATTGACCAGTCTTGTTAAAATGTTCAGCACGGGTTTCCAAGGTTTAGATATAAGTCATTTCATTTGAAAAGTAGTTCGTTAAGAAATGTATAAATATATTTCCAGAGCTTACAAGAAAACTGTTGGTCATATGTGGCCCTAGATTATGATGAAGGATGAGTCAAACGGTCTGTTTGATAGCCATGAACCAAACTTTTCACAGCATACATGGTTCCTGTCCTTAATTTCAATTGCTGGGAATTTCACAAGTATAGTTCCATTTGTAGTGTCTTCTATACGTTAGGCAACCAACTATTGTAGAGCTAATCATTCGAATATGGACGGAAGTTCGTACAAAAAAATTACGATGACTTGTTTAGTGTTGTAAGGAGTGTTGAGCGTTGTGAACGAGCAAAGAAAAATTTGTGAATAACTGTTGATAAAAATATCTGTTTCTCAGAGAAAAAAGAATATTCTTATGCAGATTCGTCACTTCAAGTTGTTCAATTCTATTAGATTTTGTATCCTCAGTTGTCGACTTCTAAAGTTTGAAGGTTCTTTCTACCACAGTACTTTCCATAAATTCCTTGAATGGTTACTGTCGTTGCGATTTCGCCTACTTTATTGTAATCCTTCTAGGCTAAAGTATGATGAAGTCATGCAACTAGTTCTTTAAAGTCATAACTAATTCCTTTGAATGCAATTTTTATAAAACCGTCTTGGAGAATTTTATTTTCTGTTAGACTTTCTGTAGTGATAAACTTAAATAATCAACCTTTTACCATGATATCATATTGAATCAAATTAGTCTAATTATAAAGAGTATTCACATTTTTAAACATTGAGTGCAGTATTATTTCAATATTTTTTTTGTTTTTTCAAGTGTGGCGCTCATCTGGGCCATGTGTTCGAAGATGGACCTAAACCAACAGGTTTGCGTTATTGTGTAAACAGTGCATCTCTGTCATTTAAAAAAGCAGAATAATTGTTCGAAAGAATATCAATAAAATCAGTTGACTGACAAGAATGCATCAGGTTTTAATATGAATTAGCTAACTTTTCTCTTTACTCATGTACGTATCGGTCAGATATCGGTTAATAAACTCATATGCTTTCTTATACGCATGCTGTTATTACTTTACCCGTTATATTCAGTTGATACTAGTAAATGAGCTAACTGCGCGAGGAAATGTGCGCAGTTTTAGCTAGAAGCCGTATTAACTGGAGTTCAACCGTATTGAGTGTGAGGCAGTTGGCCACCGAAGGCGAGGGGAAGTGATTGGACAGTACTACGAATTCAATGAAGCTAAACATGTACGCTTTTGGCTTTTGCCAATTTGTGGCGCAGTAGAGATATCCGTCTGTCAAATAAAGGACGTTTTTACTGTGCAACAGTTTGCTCTATTCTACTATATGGATGTGAAATGTGGTTAGTAAGACTGCACGTGTATTTTGGGAGCACTGAGTAAGCAATGCCTCTGTTAGGAATATGGTATTAAGTAAGGATGGCAAATCGACTGATTGGGTAGTAAATCTTCATCAACTGAGGTGGTTGGGACATGTATTACGTATACCTATCCATTGCCTATCTCGACGGGCAATGTAATTGGGTGTAAGAGTAAGGTGGAGGACGGCTAATGGCGGCCTTATTGAGACATCACATCAGTCTTTGAAGTCACTACCAATTAGATTGAGCCTTGTAGGTGGGTTCATACTATCCATTTAGGGTCCGCGCGGTTTTCATAACCAATGGTCAGAAACTTAGAATGACATGGCTTAAAATCGTTTGCGATAGCGCAGGTGTACTCATCATTAGTCTTTCCCCAAATTCTGAGTTCTTGAATTCTTTATAACTTTGTGTGTTTTTATTTCACTATCTTATATTTTCTTTTAGAGTCGTATCATAGATGCCGAATCTTTCCTGTTACCACTGATACTGTTAATGCTTCTACTATTCTGGGATTCAGCTTGACAACTTCATCTCTCTGTGCTAATGGAGTAGGGCGACTTGAACCGATGTACATACGTAATAGGTTCTACATTACTTAATTCGACCCCTGATGGGGGGTTTGATGCACACTGTTGAAGATTCCCACATTAGGACGAGACAGCTATTTAGTGTTTTCTAGTTTCCAGTATGTTTTTTTCAACTTAGTTTGGTTCATGATCTCAACAGCGTCGTATAGAAACGGTCGACATATTATGTAAATCGACTTGGAAATACGTGGAAAAACAAAACGAATAGCAAGCATTATTTAGGATATATTTTCATGACATGCGATGTACATTTGAAGAATTGTTTATTTTAGTTATTTCTAATGGACATCCTTATAAAGCATAGTAAATAATATAAAGTTATTTCACTGATAATATATATTTAAATTCATCTCAATGTTTTCGTCTATTATCATTCATCAAAGAAATTAGTCATTAAAAGCTTTTTCCTCTTTTTGGAATTGAACCAATTGTATATGTGCATCAGGTGGTATACTTTTTAATAATTTCTCAGCTAAACGTTCACGTAATGATGGAATACTAACCTTGAATAGAATGAAACATGGAAATTATTATTCGAAAATTACTTTTTTTCACCTTTTGAATTAAAATGAATAAAGTTAACTGACTAAAAAGGTAAACGTAAATGTACGACAATACGATGAAGATACTTTTGCTGTTATTGTTGAGTTCTCTTGGCTAGATGATTTAATTGTGTTGTTTTCAATGTATACAAAAATTCAAATTAAACAATCCTCTAATTCAATGTTTTGATTTGTAATCAAAGACTTAAAGAATTTTTCACTGAATACTACTTCAACACTCAGTTATAACTACTTAGAGTCAGTTATAATTAAAATTAAGTTTGACAAACATATACTAATAATTATTTAATAGTTGAATTCATAAGTCAGTTAAAGCTAAATCATCAATGGGAAACCTGGAAGCACTGGATGACCGTTTCGTTCTAGTACGGGACTTCTCAACAGTGCACATCCATAATCGCACTCGTGGGATAATAATTATTTGTAATAGACTTAATTTACCTTTAAGTTATGATTTAATTCAAACTTATTTAGGAATAAATTACTTCTTATTTCTTATGGGTGGTGAATCACAAAGAATAGATATTTCGTTTAAAATTCTACATAATTATTACTCAATTATGTTTAGTGATGTAATTGTGTTATGATTTCATAATCACATAGATTTAATGAAAAATAAATTAACTTTATCTTTCTTTTACTATTGAATTGGGTAACAAATTTTTTAAAAAAATCGTAAAAATGAACATAAATAATGTGGTGATATCCTCATTAATTAATTTTTGAACTGAATAATAATATCAGAAGGGTTTTTTGTGGATATTATATTAATTTTAATAGTTGAGGTCACGAGTCAATTAAAGGTAGACCACCATGGGAAACCTAGAAGCACTGGACGGCCGTTTCGTTCTATTGTGGGACTCCTCGGCAGTGCACATCCACGATCTCGCCTCGCAAGATTCGAACTTAGGACCTATCGGTTATTAGTAAGCATATGTTGATTAATATCAGAAGGGTTTTTTGTGGATATTATAATAATTTTAATAGTTGAGGTCATGAATCAATTGAAGCTAGAATAATAATCAGCTACAACGTAGGACCAGGCACATATACGCATCAGTCCAAGTTGCCATATTGAATAATAATACATAATTTTGAATAGGACAAAAAACGTACTACTGAAATTCAGTACTTTATTAAGTTCATTTAGTTATGATTAAAGAATATATTTTATTGGAAAGAAAAAGTTCATACTGGATCATAATAAAAGTATAAAAGCAATTGATACTTCGTTTAAATTCCTTCTGTTACATAACTCTTCAACAATGTAGACTTATTAAACTGTTAAAATCAAATTAGACATCTATGAACTTCACACAATTGAAAGTGGTTATCTATGTAGTTGAGTTTCAATACTAACATCAACTAATAAGTAACTTAATTCTGACAAAATCCTAATATAATAACCAGAAGGTTTCCTGGCGCCATATAGCTACAGTAATTAAGGGGAATTAATTACTAATGTCTATCAAATCTTGGTCGACTAGTCAATCAAGCGCATAGATAAAGTTTGAGATCTTTGGACCTATAACCATGCTTTTTATTAATGTATTTTGTAGAGGTTAATTCCCTCTATATCTGACTCCAATAAATAAGTATCCCGTTAACTGAGTATTTAACGCAGGCTAAATCTCCTAGTAGAATTATGGATTTACTCGAGATTATTCAAAAACCTGAACACCAGTTATAGAGATAGTTTATTGTAAAAGATTAGTAAGATCCGCAAGCGTGCAGAAAGCAAGCACACAGGGAAACACATGTGAGTATGTGTGTCAGCAAGTGTTAAGAATCCATGTGTATTTATGAGTGTTAATTGGTTGTAGATAAATTATTTATTGTCTGTGGGAGAATACACTAAAGATTGATGTGCTGACACGCGCTCAATCAGACTCACACATAACTTTACATAGTGGATTAAGTGTTTAATTACAGTGAGTGGATAAATGATACAGTAGTTGAATGGGCTACTACAAGTTTTCTACGTTATTCGTCTAATAATTGTTAATGATTAGTGACATGTGGACTATCATCATCTGTCGATGAGAATTATCTTTATGTATCATAGCAGAAGTCTACAATCCGATTATTATTAAGACTAAAAAAATGTAACCTGTCTTCTCCTATTTTTATTACAATTACCACTGGGAAGCTGTTTGAATTGGTAAAAAAAACGTTAGTAAGTGTTCATTAAAATTTAAATGCAAATATTGTATTTGTTTCTCTATTGGGTATATTAGAAAATAACCGTGGTTGGTAACCTTACAATAAACCAACAACTCACTGTAACCGGTCTTGTCTTTTGAACCTGATCACCTTGAACTTTTGTTCTGATCCCAGTTGACTGTCTTTTATCTGCTCTATCTAACAGATTAGCTGATGCATGTTTTTGTTTTATTTCTATAAGAATGAAAAAGTAACATATATTGATCTTTTTTTAAGAATAACAATTATGAAGCTTTCTGTATTTTATTAATTATACAGTTTAAATTTAGTTAATCTAGAGGATGAACAATTCAACCAATAATACAGAAAAAATCTTATCACTAGTCTTTTTGCAATGTTCTCTGTTTTAAATTCGAATGATAGATTAAAGTTTAATGTAACTCTTTGCAAAGGCTCAACAGAAAACTTTGTTGAGAGTCTGTCTTGATAATTTACGGAAACCTATTATTTGTATTAGTAGCTTGAGTAAATATAAAACCAATTTTAGATCTTTAGTTTTACCAATATTCATACAAGTTCATTGATTTTTGTTGAAATCACCTTTTTAAAACTGCCGACTATATCATGGTAGCCAACTATAGTTCGGTTTAAATTATTATTTACAATTAGATGGTTGACTGAAAAGACAATCCACGTTTTAAAGTAATGCTATTTCATACAATACATCATACTACTTTAACAGTTGAATCCACGAGTCGAACTTAGTCATTTATTTATATTTTTATTTCTATAAGAATGAAAAAGTAACATATATTGATCTTTTTTTAAGAATAACAATTATGAAGCTTTCTGTATTTTATTAATTATACAGTTTAAATTTAGTTAATCTAGAGGATGAACAATTCAACCAATAATACAGAAAAAATCTTATCACTAGTCTTTTTGCAATGTTCTCTGTTTTAAATTCGAATGATAGATTAAAGTTTAATGTAACTCTTTGCAAAGGCTCAACAGAAAACTTTGTTGAGAGTCTGTCTTGATAATTTACGGAAACCTATTATTTGTATTAGTAGCTTGAGTAAATATAAAACCAATTTTAGATCTTTAGTTTTACCAATATTCATACAAGTTCATTGATTTTTGTTGAAATCACCTTTTTAAAACTGCCGACTATATCATGGTAGCCAACTATAGTTCGGTTTAAATTATTATTTACAATTAGATGGTTGACTGAAAAGACAATCCACGTTTTAAAGTAATGCTATTTCATACAATACATCATACTACTTTAACAGTTGAATCCACGAGTCGAACTTAGTCAGACTTGGAAGCACTGGATAATCGTTTCGTCCTGGTATGGGTCTCCTCAGTAGTGCGCACCCACGATCTCGCACGAGGAAATAGAACACAGGGCTTTTGGTCTCGCTCGTGAACGCTTAGCCTCCAGACAACTGAACCGGCATCCAACGGTGTTAATGTCTAACTTAAATTGATCCATGTTCTTGCGCAACCCTTCATCCATTGTCTCAGGTGGACACGGATTGAATTCCACTGGTCACGGATTCTCACTAGAACTCTATGAAATCCATCCTGAAGCTAGTCAGTAGTAAACATATCATACCGCCTCAGTGGTCTAGAGGTTAAGCGTTCGTGCTCGAGACCGAAGGGCCTGGGTTCGAGTCCCTCATGCGGTATCGTGGATGTACACTGCTGAGGAGTCACACACTAGGAAGAAACAGTCGCCCAGTGCTTCCAGGTTTTCAATGATGGTCTAGCTTAGATCGAATCATCAATTCAAGTATTCAAAAAATTACTACAATCTCCACAAGTCCCCATTCTGACAACATCATACTACGTTAGAATAGAACATTCTCAAATGTATAATTTTGACATAGTTTTTGTTTACTGAAAATAATACTAATTGATATTATTTATTCGCTGTTTATCAAATATCGTTAACTAATGAATATTCTAATTATAAATATTTCTCATTTTACTTTCTTGTTAATAAATGGACATGATCAGAATGAAATATGTAATCATTTTAGCAAATCCTGTTAGTGATTTTTTCGTAAAGAACTTACCATGTTAACACTCTAAAAGATAGCGAATATAGTCTTAATTGAAAAGTTGTTATTCTCGCAATTTTCGATTCGTTCTATTCACATTTGTCTTATTATTATTGTTGTCAATTAAATTCCGATCTATGAGCTAACTGTGAAATTTAAAACTTTAGATAATAATAAACTGGTTATAGGCTGTATGCTTTTGACATTAATCGAGAAGAACATTGTTATGATGAGTGTGTTAGAAAAAATTGGGCAGATAGTAAACAGACATAATTATGAAGTAATAAGATGATTGATGTCATTCAGTTAAGAAATAAACGTCGTTTTTGAATTATTAATAGCCTTCAACTCTACCAAACGTGATCCTTAATAGTTGAACTTCATCACCGCATATTAAGTAGGTATACACATTCTTACATGATCAGCTATCGGTGACTGAACGTTTTAGTTTTATGTTTCAGGCTTGTTTATTTCTGTTTAGCTTAATTTCTCCTTAACGCAGATCTCGATTGACGAATAATTTAATTTAGTTAAATAATCTGTTGTGAAACTGTCTAGATAACACTGTTTAGACAAGTAAAAGCTGACAGTTTAGTGTTCTTGGTATTTTCATATATTTTAACTTAATTAAAAAGTAGCAGTAGTAATGGTCAAAACATAAACTCTAGTTTTAAGAAAAAAGTTAGATTTTTACAATTATATATCGATATTTTTACCTGAGGATGCTGTTTGAACTGATTCAAATTGATATAACTATGAAAAATTAGAAGAATAGAAACAGTAAAATGACTTTTCTGGAATCAACTCATTTCATTTTAAAATAAATATTGTATTTTATACGTTGGTTAAATTGATATGCTAATCAATCGGATAATTGCAGAATGATTTACAGAAAATAAATGAAATGTGTTTAGCAGTGGGATCCAAAACGCCCGTTCCGTCCCATTCGGGACTCGTCAGGTAGAGATACCTTGATCTCAAAGTTGATGGTCTCTCCAAACCATCATAAATAAAATTAAAATTCTCACCCGTTATACAATTTAGTGGATATCTGAACTCAGGGATGAAGTTATATCCAACTGACAAGTCTCAAATAAGACAAAACGCGCATCTTAAATTCCATTAGTGACAACTCGCACATTCTAAATAAACTTGTGTCATAATGTATATATTGAGGCCATCCACCCAGGGTGCTCATATGCCAACCAAGACTGATCAAAATTCAATCGAAAAATCAACAAAAGATAATCCAAAGCATCACGAATTAAATTAGTTTTTTTTTTAACATTGCGTGATATATTGAGTTACATAAACTGATAGGCAGTTTTCCCATAATTAATCAAAACTTAATAATTCTAGGCACTACGGCGTCAAATGCCTATAGACATTATATATATATATATATATATATATATATATATATATATATAGACAGTTTCACAACAGATTATTTAACTAAATTATATATATATATATATATATATATATATATACTGTTTAGTAAAGTATGATAATTTAGAGCATAAAACGATCCTAGTTAAACAAATGTTGGAAACCTAGGAGCGCTGGATAAATGCTTCATCATAGTGTGAAAAACCTCATCACCGCGCATCCACAGATCCACTGAAGATCAAATAATATTTATACGTTCACTACTGAGTAATTTCGAAGAGTTTTAGTTAGAAGCCATAACCAATGGAGTTAGCCCGTGTTAGATGTAAGATAGTTAGGCACTAATAGCAATCAAATACAGTTATCCAATGTCATGAATTGATTGAAGTCAAAAATTCAAATCACGGATGTCTAGTCAGTAATCTAAAGGTCCTGTGTTTGGTCGTTAGTGGGGTTGTGATCTCCATACTAGGACGAACCAGCTGTTCAGTTCTTCTTAGTCAGCCATGGCCGTCCGGTCAAGGTCGATTCGTGACTTAAACTATAAGATTCAATAACGTCTACAAATAAATAGCATTGTTAAAATCTGATAATTTAATTAAACGAAATTTTATGTGGAGCAGTAGATCTTGTGTCCTATTTCAAGCTGCCAAGTCACAGGTTCGAACAAAGCCACATCTACATTGACTCAATCAACTGAGTAATTTCACTAATCTCAACATTCATAGCTTGTCTCGAAGCCAAGTAAACAAGTTTATACCCGGTAAATGAGTTAATGAAAAAAAATTATTAATTTCGATGAAATTTTTCCTACAAAAGACACTGTCACTTTAACTTTAGTATAAAGTCATTTTCTAAGTCTTAGTTTTCATCTTGTCAACACAGAGCACGTTCTGAAAATCTTACCTAGGCACTTTGTTTTCTTTTAGAGAAGTATGCAAACGACCATACTACTTTCTATTTATGACAGCCCCACTACAACTACCATATATAAAATTATGATCAACTACTACAAGTTCACTATAAAAATACTTTTAGTGAAGTAAATAACTGTATTATTTGGTTAAGTTTTTATTGTTATTTGCTGATAAATTTTAATATAATCAATCATTCATAACCTTGATATTCTGAATAGAAATTATAACGTACACATTACTAAGTAAGGAACCCAGTATTTAAGTCAACGACTCATGAAGTTATCTCAAACGACTCAACCACTGATAGTTTTAATATTTTAAAGGCTTGGATACTGTTATATAATAGTGAATTAAAACATTCTCTTTTTTATTTTGAAATCTAGTTACACTACGTTTATGTTTTGTTAGCTTCGTTATGATATTCAGCGGATCTAAAGTTGATGGATCAAAATGTATATTGTCCCTACATCTAGGCGCCTAGACAAAGGTTTATGATGGCTTTAATTTAATTTTGATTGTTAATAATAATATTTTTAAAGTGCAGTAATATGCGAAAGCAGCTATGTATTCAGTATATTGCACATCACTGATTACATTAAATTACCTGACATACATGATATAGAATATAACTTGAAAAACAACAACACAACTCACTTGGGACATTATATCATCAATTTTTTGTAAAGCAGATTGTTTCAAACGTTTTTCTTCTTTTAATTGTTTACGTAATAAATCAACTTGTCTTATTGATTTATCAGCTTCTTGTTTTCTTGATTTTGCGCTTACGCTTAAAATTGTATTCATTTCATTAAGCTCATTATCTTTCTCTGTTATTTCTGTTATCTTGAATAAATGAAATGTAAAAGAAGTAAACAGATTGATAGTTAAGGAAATAGACAATTAATAAGATAGATTGTTTAGGGAATATAATCCAGTATTCGATAATAACATTGTAAAAGACAGAGAAATATTATTATAATCTCTATAGTTTCTTCTTTATCGTAATCACCATATTCGTCTAAATAGCGTGAATTTGAAAGTATTAACCAATAAATGATTACCAACATTTTTATGAACTTAAACATGATACTAAACTGTACACACAGTAGATCAACTGTTCATTGTACCTTTAGTGGTATAGATGTAAAATCTATATCATTACATAACGTTGTAGTTATTTAGCTTTTCTGACTTTTTCATATCTTCCACCAACTACTTATCAAAGACAACATTATGCTTACAATACTGTTGTCAGTTATAATGTATACTCCGAAAATAACGTTGTATAGTAAAACGCTGTCACCTGCAATTATAAGTTTTGCTTCTATCTTATACCTCAAGTCGTTTATATTTCTGCAACTAATTTTCGGTCAAACTAATTTATGAATCGTGTATTTACGAATAATGTAGTCTCCTCTTTAGTAAATATTGCCTCGGTTTTGTATGAAACCTACCAAATCCGTACACTAGTGTGCACTATAACTATTTTGAGAATATATATATATATATATATATATATATATATATATATATACGTAGAGGAGTTGGAAAACTCTGATTCCGAACCAATAGTGCAACATGGGCTCCAGAGTCCTGAGGGAACAAATGACGTATGAACCTATTGTTGGTCACCGGCGATCATGGGACTGCATCTCCTTACGTTGTTCCACTACTTTGTGGATTAGACCTCATAAGTGAAAGGCTCGAGGTGTGGCCCCCCAAGAAAACCACTTGTTTCGTTTTAGGCACCAGCACAGTATTCCAGTCCTCATACAAATCAAGGGATTTGTGTGGTCTATATCTATTGGGTGCCTCCTTGTACCAATATTTTTAGATAAATAAAAACGCATATATATAAAAATTAAATCAGAGATAACTGAATGTTTATTCACAAATCAAACTCAACCTAAGGAGGCTATAGTAGTCGTTATTCTGGGGTTTATGGTTGTAAAATATTTTATGAGAGAAATCTATATGAAAACATTTAAGGCATCAAATCTCATTCGAATTTTGACGGATAGTCATATAAGTGAAAAGTTTTACATTTAGATGAAAGCTCTGACCTTTATCCAGAAAAACAACATTTTCACTCAGTTCCTGTTAGATCTAATCATAATTAAGGGGCTATATAGTTATAAACAATAAATATAGTCTTGAGACACTGAGTGGTATATGATAAAGGTAAAACAAATTATAGTCGTTACTAAAACCATTTAGTTTCTACGACTTATTATTCAGAACGTTTTTGAATGAGAAATTGAATACCTCATAGTTTACAAACACTAACAATCAAAGCTGACCTGTAACTAATAGTGCACGGAATATCAAGTCACTAAGACTAGTGGTCACATGGGAACATGATTGATCTAATTCAATCCATACCAAGGTCTAGACAAACACCGCATTGATGACACCACTCAGTAATCAACCAACGTAAATATCAACACTTACTAGCTGATCAATATGCATTTGTTTCACTATAGCCATTTGTTTATCAGTGGCAGCTTTTCGTTCAGCTGCATGTTTCCTGTCAATTTTATCTTTCTTCTACAATGTATTAATAAATGGAGAATGTGATAGAAAGTTTATGTTTTAAAATTATATACACGTGCGTATTTATTCACTGTGCTGATTAGCAAAAAAAATTTGAAATTCAGCAACACCAAACTGAATTATACATGGGCATTTGCTTTTACAATGAAGTACGAAAATGTCATCATGTTTTCTATTTGGACAATATAATCATTTTATTTAGTTAGAGGTTTGCATATATACCAACTGAAAAGCATACAAAAAGGTCATTTTGAGATGGTGGAGACGATTTATAGCTGAGGTGGATGATTTAGACGGGGTTTTGTTCTCTGAGATGGATGGTTTAGTCGTAGAGGTTTTATTGCTCTTCTGGACAACAACATCAGTACACACTTTAAGTAGAAATGGTGTTCGAATTTCTCCACATTTTTTCTATCTACTGCACATCTAGCATCAATAAGAGATTTGAACGTCTTTCAGTGTCACTATACTGTTAAGTAGTCCGGTCTGCATTGTTTTAAAGCTTAGGTGTTTTGTTGCCAGTGTATTTTACAGCACAGATTGTGGATAATGAAACCAATAGCGAAAAACACTAGACGATTTGAGCGTAAGTCCCAAGAATCATTCAGTAAATGGGGTTGTAAGCTTATGTGGATTGAGGTGATCTTGTTTTGTTAGACGTGCCAGGTTACTGTTTGAGGTGACTTGAGATTGGGACCATAAACGGGACTGGTTTGATGAAGACGAAAATTGATCAAATGAAGACAGAAACCATGTTTATACGGTTGATTACCTTTAATTTGAAATGTAAAAAGATGAATATCCTGATTGGAACCGTCATGATGATATAGATAAGCGGCTAGATACCCTATGTAATACAGCCGATAGTAAGATGGAGTAGATGTGTTTAAGCTTTTTTTCTAATGAAACCTGGAATTACTAGATACTTTTAGTTTATTTCACTTCCTGTTTTCAACTAACGGTCTTAAACAATTTTTATCTTCACATTTATGTTAATTTTGTTCACCTATGTAATTGCAGTAAACAGCGATTTGGACCCCTTCATTTTGTTATCGGAATTCTAGTCTTTATATCAATACAACAATTTCTGAAATTTTTGTTAATTTACATTGTATACAAATATTTTGATAGTTGGAATCATGAGTCAATTGAAGCTAGACCACCATGGAAAACCTGGAAGCACTGGAAGGATATTTGTCCTTTTGTGGGACTCTTCAGCAGTGCGCATCCACGATCCTGCACTCGAGAGATTCGAACCCAGGACTTACCAGTTTTGCGCCAGAGCACTTAACCGATAGACCACTGAGCTGGAATCCAACGGTGTTAATGTCTAACTTTAACCGATCCACGATTTTGAGCAACCGTAAATAAACAAATAAAATATTTTTTAAACTTGACTTACTTCTTTATCTAATGCAATACGTAGATCATTCAAATGTTTTTGTGTATTTGCTAAATGTTCTCGCATATTAGTAATTTCTTCATTTAGCAAACGTATATGTTGTTCAGATAACATGTTCATTCTTGTAGTACTTGTTTTATTTTGATTTCGTTGATTTTCAACTATACCAAGCTGTTTAGATTGAATAATAAATAAATATATTTAGCATAAATATTACATGAAATTCATTTTTGCTATGGTCACTCGTTAGAAAAACTAGTCTAAAAGTGAGCAAAAAGAAAGCTTTGAAATCAAAATATCTTTAGTGCCATTCTGGAAATTCTACAGCATTTGTGTAAAACGTTGTAAGATGAATCTGGATGCAGTTATGTTGAATACTCTGTTCTATTCATGTAGCATCCAGAAAGATTTATCTCCAGAGTTATGTGGTGAATTATTAATTCGTACAAATACATTTTGTTGGATATAGGGGCGGTGTAATCTTTCACTAGTAGTAAGTAAGTCCTAGATGAGGTCTATATGCATAGTACTAGGGATGCTATTAACTGTTCTCGTACGGCTGATAGGAGGAGGGTAACATTGACAAGAAAAAACATCGAGATTGAAACTAAAAGATGATAAGTCTGACGCACAGAATACCACCTATCATGAGATTTTAGGGGCAAATTTTCTGGCTAAACGTGGGTGTAAGAGATAAAGATAAAAATATTCACGGTTCTGCATTCAGGTTCCAGATCGGGACAATATAAATCTCTAGATATTCGGATGGCTATTAACATTAATTTAATTGAAACACGGATGTCATCTTTGCTTGTAAACTCCTCCTCCTCCGGTATATTCCGAATTATTGGAGCAAATGGTAAGAAAATTTCACTCCGTCTTTGCTTGGAAATCAGAAAAATATCGGTCTCGTAATGGCTTCAGTTGACAAAATTGACACAAAATGCTGAGCCCTTTATTCAAACCTTCCGCCGTACGCTCGTCCAGATTAAAGAAGCCTTCAAGTATATGGTAAAAGCACTATCAACACCACTATGGGTCGCACCATTCGTACTGGTATAAAAGGAGAACGGGTCTTTAGAACTGTGCATTTACTGCCGGTTGCTTCATGAAGCCACAATACACCGTCTCTTTCTATCGCCACTCATCGACAGTATATTAGATGCATTAGCCGGCTCAAAATAGTTCTCCACATTGAATTTGGCATCTTATTACTGATAAGTTGAATTGTACGCAGATGACTTACGAAATAGCCTTCAGTATTGTATCTGGTTTGCATCAGTTCCAGATAATGCCTTTTAGACTAACTAATCCATCTGCCACTTTGCAAAGATTATTACATACAGGGATCGCTCGTTCGGTTCAACAAGTTTTCCAAATATAATTAAATGGTGTTACAGTGCATGTAGCAACTACTGAGGAACCCTTATATAATTTACAAACAGGTTGATTTTTAGGGAATTATGTCTTACGTCAGGAATACGCAAAACATGAATGAGTTTTTGTCGCACAAAAAGCAACAAATTTGTTAAGCGAACTGATGAAACCCTAAAAGTGATATATGGCCAAGAAGCTGAGGGTGTTTGCTCAAAAACGCAGCATTTTGTCGGTTACAGTTTCAATTCAACCTCTTTAAGACGGTGTGAAACTGTAATTATCATATACTGAAATATAAATGTAGCATATACATAAATAAACTGTCTAATAACATTATGATCATGACAAACCTGTTTTTCAAATGTACACTTTAATGTGGTTTGTTGCCATTGTGACATAACTTTTAGACGATTCATCATTTGTTGAAGACTAATATTATACTGATGTAAAGTGATAATTTCTTTAGATAAATGGTAATTGTGTTTAGCTAATTCATCTTCTATAAAATGTAAATATACATAGATTATATCGAATAAAAATATTTTATGATATAACAGAAAAAGTACTAAAGACTAATACATATCACTGGTAATCAACTTTAACTTTTGTGATCATTATTAATACTGTTAGTTATAGAATTTTATTTTAAATGTATAACTGATCAAACTGAACTAAAACTAAATTCTTTAACGTGATAAAACGGACAACATCCTTATGTAGATATGGATGGTGTATAGCAGTTTAATCCAGAACGTGCTTTTCATCCTTTTTTGTACTTGTCGGCTGAATGTACTTACATTTCAGAGTTGATACTCATTCCCGGACTTGAACCCTACATTGTTTGCTTCCAACACCAACGCGTTATCCAAGAAGGCTGACCAATCGCTGTTCTAAGCATCAATATGAAGATTTGAACAGCCAGTATATACGATGTAAGACAATTTTGTTGTATCTGATTGTAGAATGGCTTAAATGTTCCAAAAATCTTTAAGTTCGAGTGTTGGAAATTTATTAAATGCAAATTTTTATCTGCAATTTATTGAGTACAAAATATGAATTATATCAACTATACATAGCGAAGATAAATCTACTCTCAATTCATAATGACTAGTATGTTTGAATAAAGAACAGCACTTGCAGAACAATAGTATGAACTGATTTATATGCTTGGCTCTCTTCAGTTGCTTACTACTCCAGAAACGATGCTATAATTCATTAATAACAAAATAAGTATGCATATGTTATATCGGAAATGGTTTGAATAAAGTTGGGTTTGCATGAAGATGTAGAGTAATCAAAAAAATAACTATGGAAGAATTAAAAAGTCTTCAAACGGATGTTTATTTATAGATTGAATATATGAATATTCTACAAGAGAAAACTAAAAAGAAACAGGATTTTTCTGATTCAAAAATTTATGTTGTGAACTTTATGATACCTAAAAATGTTGACCAGCGTAGTTAAGCTTAGAAGAAAAAAAATTAAGAAATTAAAATTTACATATTGAAAAAAATTGTACCTAATGTAATTATGAGAACAAAATCACAAATGATAAGGCTACTAACTGCATCATTTTGGTTGCGTAAGTTTTTGTTCATATTTTTTTATATCAAAAGCTTCGGTAAACCTCAATAAATCTGGAGTTCTTTGTTTACCAATAATCTTGATGAATTTTGAAACATCAACATCATGTCCACAGTTGAACCGATGACAAGTGATTGAACTGTTGTAATTTAGCTTTCATTCTAATCGCAGAAACATGATCGGAGAAGCAGACACTAATTCTCCTCTCTACTCATCCAATGTATATACTTTGTTACGTATATGTGAAATAGTGAACATTATCAAAGATACCTGAAGGTGGGAAACCGTCCAAATATGACAATCGCGATGACCAATTCATTTGGTATATAGAGTTAAGTTAGGTGGTTAGATACAAAGATATCATATTCAAAGAATATCTATGACGAAGATGAGATAAATGTATATCACAGCATAAAAATGTTAGGAATCCTTATTACTGGTGATTTCTGTCTCGATTATTGCTAATATATTTCATTTTACTAACTTATTTAATCCAAATTGGTAAAATAAATTAGCAAAACTCGATAATTTAATTTTAAAATACTACATAATCCGTGTTATAAATGAGTAAAGAACAGTTAACTGATACGATGTTACACACATATTAAGCACAAATGGACATTGGATTATCACATGAATGGATTTTAACAAAATATTTAGGCATTATTTGTATAAACTACAATTTTAGAATGATACAATTGAAGAAACAAAAAGAAATCACTTTTTCCGATTGAAAATATCGTTAGATAATAATGATTATAAAACAAATATTGAGTGCTGGTGATCGGTCTATGCTCCCTAACCAGGTGGTAGATGAAGACTACTTGCTTGGGGTACGCGTGACTATCGTAACCAATAGCTGGAGACTCTGGGTGACATGGCTCAGAGTCGATCACAATGACGCAGGTGTATAAACTCTTTGTCTTTCCTTAAACTGTGAGATTAAAACTGCTTCATATCTCTCTTTCTTCCTGTACTATATCCTTATATAAAACCTATCTTATATTTAGTACCAACACTAAATTAACTAATTCTATGAATTCGGTGTTCATTTTGTGCTTATGAGGTATGGCAACTTGGACCGATGTATATATGTGCCTGGTCCTACGTTGTAGCTGACTGATTGACCTCCATGAAGGGTAACAGGCGTAAGGAAGTCAAAAAATATCACTAGTAAAAACCAAAACAATTGATTATTTACTAGTTCGAAATGATTTTTGTATTTGATCATAACGTGAACATAAATAGAATTGTTTACGAATCCATTACTAATTGTGATAGAATAGATCAAATTACATAATTAATTCATTTTGTGATTTTCAATTTAACATTACTTCTGTTATTCATTCAAATATAATGACGATTATTTAGTGTAATATTTTATTTAGTATAACATGGATTTATTTGAGTGTAGTATCTATTCAACATATGATATTCTTTGTACGAAATTAACATAAACTATGGTCAGCATGACATGTAGCATGCGACTTATCATAATTCTGGGTATTTATCATCTATATAGTTTCATTCTAATTAATAGTGAAAATGGGTATACAAATCAAAATATATATGAATGTATTTTCTTCTAGAGTTGTCGTCATATTTATGTTGGAGTTAATAAACTTTCACTTGTAACAATCTTTTGTGTTGTTACTTTGCGTTATAGGAATTGTAGTAGTTCCTCGTTTTCAAGTATAATTAATAGGAGATGCTGATATAATATATTGGAAACTAACTTTTTAAAGTCAAAATTAATGACTGAACTTTATTCAACAAAATCTCATAGTGAAACCGTTGAAGTTAACAAAATTACATAGTAAGGGATTTTGTTATGTTTTTAAATAACCAAAATCAAATTCCAAATGTTATGAGGTTGATAGTCTTTCGTTACTTAGATAGACCTATATAACCCATGACAAACAAAATCTTTGCATGACATTAACATTAAGTACAATTGAATTTCTTTTAATGATAGATTTAATTTGTGTACTAAGTAAATTTCATAAAATATGTTATCTTACCTGTTGGCTAGAAACAACTGAATGATTGTTGCAGTTAAGATTCAATAGAAATCTAATATTGATTGGAATAAGGATTTGATACCGTTATGTTTATCACCATGAAAAACCATATTTCACTTAAAATCTGAATGTCTTATCACAGGATAGACAAACATCTTCCTCTATTGCGAAACATTTAGTTGAAACTGGTCATAAGGTTGACATCAAATCAGCGTTTGTAGTGTCGTACAAAAGCCTTCAAGTACGTATACTAAGGTTTATTGAAGCCTTGGCTATACGAAAATTGAAACCCCCTTTATGTGTTCAAAAACAATTTGTTCTTACCATTAACCTATCCTGGTAATGCCGATTTATTATACAGAGTAGTCATTACATTCTTTTTGTGTACTTTATTTATTTACTTACCTTAACCTGTCTAGTTGACCTTTTAATTTTCATATAAAAGTGTCTTAACAAGTATATGTGTGATCAGATTGTTCGAAATGTATTGCGCTAATATATCACATAATTCTGATAAACTTCGTCTTCTCATTGCATTATCGAAATAATTACATTTATAAAATAACACAACTTTATGAGTTTTAAAAATATCATCAAAAAATTAATTCACCTGCAGAAGTTCCAACAGCGGTTCGTTCTTTTATGCGTAACATTTCTGTAGAAGCTTCTTCTTTTATCTCAGCAATACGTTGTAAAGTGATTGCTTTTAACTGATTACGATATTCGTCAATACGGGATTTTTGTTCGAAACTAATACCAAATAGTTTACGAATTGAATCATTAAGTTCCTTTCTAACACGTTTTTGTACTTGAGCTTCCGTTTCCTTGTGTTTCGCTTCTAATTCAAGTATTCTAGCTCGCAATGCTGTAACTTCTATACGATTGAAGATATAAAACAAATAAATTAGACTCTTTTAACCAAATTTCATTCTTTTTTTATTAAGGATCCCTGATGAACTCGAATGGTAAATTATGAGTAGTCTACAATAATTCAAGCTTACATCTACGAAATTGTCACATTTAATATTCTGAATAGTGTTTGACGTTTTAGTATTAATCTAGAAATTCTGCAGAATAGTTACCAATATTCCAGTACTCATGTCTGTTTGAAATCCATTAGGCGATTAAAAAATCATGATCAACCACTAAATTTCAGTGTAAGGCAACAACAACAACAAACTAACCAAAGGGTTTCCCTGATTTAATAAATCATAAACAATGTTTTGTACACACAAAAAGCAATCGTTTCAAAATGATATATTCTCTAGATATTTTCCGAATAATTGTTCAATATTCATAATTTTAGTTATTCCATATGAATTATCCAAAAGATCTGCAATTTGTTTTGTTTCCACAACTACCAAGCTCTTTGGTTAACACAAGAAGTTAGACGAATCAAAGAAGAAAATCATTTTAGAAAACTTCACGACTAGCTTCCTCAATTTATTTCATCCTTAACTGATAAAATGTTAGTTAAGAGTCATTCACCTTGTACCTCCAACTGTTCACACTTTCATTCAATCTGTACAGTTCTGTTAATGTTCCTTTCATCAATATTATTGTTAGACAATGCAGTTGCGTACATATTCACAGTTTACTAAGCGACGGAAAGATTTGGACTTATTTTGCATCAAAATCAAATAATTTGAGCTGTGTTCTGAAAAATATTATATATTCCAATGTGTGTTATAAATAAGATGTGAATTACTCGATGATGTTTACAAAATACTTAGTTACAAAGTCCTAAAAAGTTTCTCTTCACCATAAATTTTGCTTTACAATAGATTTTAACTTTCTGACCAGTAAAAAGAGTGTCATCGGTTTTTAACGGTCAAATTAACGAGTCGATTTTAGATAGAACATAATTGAAAACCCTGAATCACAGGGCGGCTATTTCGTTCTAGTATGAGACCCCTCAGCAGTGCGTACCCACTGTACCACCTGTGCGACTGGAACTCAGGACCTTCGGCTTCAAACGGTGTTAATGTCTAACTCTAATCAATCCATGATTTTGTTCAATGCTTCATCTATTGTCTGAAATGGATAACTGTCTCCACAGGACACGGATTGGACACCATTTGTCAGGCATTCTCACCAGAACTCCAGGAAATTCATCTTGAATTAGTCAAAAAATACTAAAGTCCCCAAAAATCCATTTACTGATCACTTTTTAAGTTTAGTAAGGATAAAATATTTTATTTAGTTGTCAATTTATTCTAGTACTTACCTAACAACAAGTCATATACTTGTTCAGACATTTGAAATTGTACTGTTGTACCAGTTTCCAGATCTTTTTGATGTAGTTTATCTCTAAGATCTTGTATTTCACGTTCATTGGCATACATTAAATGATGTTGGTTTTTCAACAAATTTTCATAATACATTGAATAACTAAGATGTGTAGTTTAATTTTTCCAACGCAATAAACAAATAAATATTTTTTCATTAATACAGTTATAAGTTAACAAAAATAAATAGTAAATTCATAGTTGAAAGCGTGAGTCAATTGAAGCTAGACTACCAGGGAAAACCTGGAAGCACTGAACGGCCGTTTCTTACTATTATAGGACTCCTCGCGAAATTCGAACCCAGAACCTACCAGTCTCGCGCCAGAGCACTTAACCACTAGACCACTGAGCCGGCATCCCATGGTGTTTATGTCTATCTCCAACCAATCCACGAAGTTGAGCAACCGTTCACATATTGTCTTCAGTGAGTTCCTATCTCACAACAGACGTGGTTTGAATTCTACTGGTCAGTGCTTCTCACTAGAACTTCACGATTTACCCCTCAAAGTCAGTCACTAGTGAGCACATGATTATAATCAAAAAAGGTTTTTTTGGAGATTTAGTATTTTCATAGTTGAATTGGTGTCTTGCTTTACTCAGAAACTTTAAAGAATACTTAGTTAAATAAAGCCATAATTAATCTGTTATGGGAACACTTCATTGAGATCGTTTACCTTCAAAATTAACCACAAACAATACCATTTTATTATATATGCATTATTGTATTCATTTAAAAAAGTGATATCCGGAATTTCAATATAGGTGGCTTAAACTTACATAAACTACCTACTACTGACTATCCTTGATAATAATTCTTAACGATGAATATGTTTTTATTCAAGATATTCAATGTATTATTTGATGAAAATAAAGAGAATTTTTATGCAAATATCTTCAACTTGACTGACTTTCACTTCACATTTATCATGAAAGTATACATGTAACTAAGATCATGAATAGAAATAAAGTATGATCATCTTTTGCTATATTTTAAATCATCTCGTATCTTTCAATTAACCCAAAGTGAACACTGCTTTCTTTGAATAATCTCTCATATAAGCGAATATTTCTATTATGTAATGTTTTTGTATATTCAATTATTTAAACATGAAATAGTGTCTTTCAACATTCGTTCAGTAAGAATTAAAATAAGTTCTTTGATTGGATCAGAGGTTTAACTGGCTGTACCACAATATCCAAAAGTCTACTATATCATAATAAAAAAACAACTGTCAACTAATTTCAAAGTGAGAATCTTCAATACGAACGTCAAGACAGTCCTACTGCACGGAGCTGAAACTTGGAGAACTACTACATTCATCGGCAAGAAGGTATATGTATTTACAAACAGTTGTCTGCGCAAGATACTGAATATCCTTTCGCCGGATACCATCAGCAACAGACGTTCATAGGACAGGACTAACCAGATTCCAGCTGAAGAGGAAATTATGAAAAGACTTTGGAAGTGGATTGGATATACATTGAGGAAATCGCTAAACTGCATCACGAGGCAATCCCTAACTTGGATTTCTGAAGGGACGCGGAAAAGTAAAAGGCCGAAGAACACATTACAACGGGAAATAGAAGCAGATATGAAAAAGATGAATGTTAACTAGAAAGAACTGGGAAGGACTGCCCAGGACAGGGTTAGTCGGAGAATGCTGGTGGCGACATATGTTCCTCCACGAGGGGTAACAGGCGTAAGTAAGTACTATATCACAATAGTAAAGCGATAAATATTGTGACAAATTGTCATGTTGACTTACTATATTTATTGGAATACATTTGAAATTACACGGAAACTTTAACTTAATAGTTTATCGAAATATGAAAAAAACTAGTATTTCTTTTGTATTCTATTTTGATGCTTCTATCTATTTGCATAACATAATATCATAAAATTGAAAAATTATTTTGCCTTCATTTACTACTGAACCCCTCTTCAGATTCAGATATTTTCAAAATAATACAAATATAATAAATTATCTCGTAATTATAAGAAAGTACACTGTAAATGGTAACAAAGTGAAATTAACGATTATCAAATAATTTTTATATATAACTGAAATAAGTCAATTGAAGCTAGACCACCATGAAAAACCTGGAAGCACTGGATGGCCATTTCCTCCTACTGTGGGACTCCTCAGCAGTGCGCATCCACAATCCCGCCTCGCGAGATTCGAACCCAGGACCTACGAGACTCATGATTTCAACTATATATGAAAATTACTAAAAATCTCCACAAACAACCCCGATTATCAAATAACTAAATTTATAGATGAAGTTCTAAAAGAAATTAAAATAATTTTATAAAAAAAAGTAATTTACTGTTCAAATGTTTCCTTCTCGTTATACATCACTGAAATAGCTACATTTTGTACTATTAAATTAAAATTCTCTTTTGTGATTGTATAAATATCAGATTCTTCATTATGTATTGAATGTGAAATCAATTGATTGAGGAATTCTTCAGCTAACGCTGGCCTCTTCACAGATAAAGTTTCTTTCATTGCCTATTTCAGTAGTATTTTACAGAAATGAAAAGAAAACGGTACATATGCTATTGATGAACTATGTACAATGTTTTATTGAATAACATAAAACAGCCTTCTATTTGGTTTAGATATATCTAACTGTATTGACTTGAAATAAGAGCGACCTGTTAAGATTGTAACATTAGCTGAACACTAATTCCTGCCACTGATACGACTGTTTCCTATGACTATTGAATACACTTCTACCTGCTACTTACTACTACTTAACGAGACTGCTTTTGCTGACGCAAGGATGAAAGTAAAACTATAGAAGAAAACGGATCTATTCATCAACCATTAATTATACGACGACATCCACAGTAATAACCATAATAGATAGCACATCATCTTACATGTTCATCTGGTCAATCAACAATTTTGAATGAATGAAACAAGTAGTTAAGCAATAATTCTATCCAATAAATAACTGAAACGACTGAGAAACATAATTCATCACAAAATTGTATGATTTGAAAAATTCCCAATTTGTGATTTAGAATAACATATATAAGCGAACAATATTGTTTTCTATTAGATCCTCTTCAGGCTTTACTCTAATATACAGTAATATATATATATATATATATATATATATATATATATATATATATAAGAAATTATTAAATCAATCAAGTCAGTCTATGAGTCAATGATAACAGTGGGATAGTTTACACATTATGTATGCAATCTTATCATTATTATTAATGATATAACGCTTGGAAATGTTTTTGAGAAAATTACTTAGCACCTAACCCTGTTTACTCATTCTGTTTCAACTCACATTATTTTATATATTACTTTGACTATTGATCAAATATTGATTTTGCTTTGTGATTGCACAATTGTCACTCTTACCCCATGTGAACCATATCTATTCTGATCACTAATATCATCATTTCATTTAGTATACAAACTTATTCAAGTTGAAACTTTATATTAGTCACCTTAATATGTACAGTTTTACGATTCTAAAAATTCACATGCTGTTATTGTTAATGATACAATAATCTTAAACCAGGTCACTTTATGGATTGGTAGCTTAGATGTATAGAGTTGTAGAAGCTGAAGAGAATTTATTGAAAAGGATGTTTTTCTTTCATATATCTGACATTTTGAAATGAGACGCCATGTCAAAAGACGTTTTTCATTATGCTTAAAGTTAGTATTTGCAAGAAGTAGGCGGTTATCTGAGCATACCTGAAACAGACGGTCGCCATTATCTGTTCTTTTAGCCACAACACGATAGGATCCACCCAGGTGTCTTTCCCTTTCACTTAATTTACCTACTTGAGCATTACAGTCACTTGCCACCATTACTACATCAGAACGCCTAGCTTTTCGGAGAAGGTAGGAAAGTTTCCTGTAAAACTCATCTCTTACATCATCTGACCTGCAGTCAGTGGGAGAGTAGGCAGAGAAGACGAAGAGGCAACGACGAGTGTCCCTATCTTTCCGAGTCCCTACTGTTCCGTTTAGTCGGACAGCATACAAACGACTGTCTACTGGGATCCACTCTAAAAAAGCTAGTTCTGCCCTAGGACTCAATGCTATACCTACGCCAGCGAGGCCACGGGAAGCAGCATCAGGGCTTCCAAATACGCGAAATGTGAAGCGAGTTGGTTCTTTATTGTGACATGGTGAGGTCAAATGAATGACTCTACTCGGAGACGCAGCACACATCGATGGTGCGAGATTTTAAAGTCCTAGCTAAGGAGGCCTGTTGTCCTATTTGGCACAATGTTTGAACATTAAAAGTTCCTACATGTAGTTTAGAGCGTGGTTTTAGGAGATCAGGGATAACGTTCCATGTACTCGAATCGTTTGCCCTAGCGGTGCGAGGTGACAAAAGGATGTGAGAAGGGTTGGTCAAGGAGATAAGAGAGTTATTATCAGGTGTAGGAAGGACTTGAATGTGACCAACTTGGTCTCGTGTTCAGTTACGGGTATGAGGGCTAATATCACTTCCCGACTGTCCACACCGTGGAAGGGTATTTCTTGAGGGACCTGAAAAGAAAGTTGGATTAATGTTGGTCTTAACAACCTGGGAGCGTGACCGCAGTGCTCAAAGGACACCTGCTTGAGGCCGGTCACGCACGGCCTTTCCGTGGGGGATTTTTGACGTGTTAGCTCCGTTCTTCAAAGGACCTTACTGCCGGAGACGGAAATCCGTGGGATATGGCGGGGTGTACATTTTTATGGTCGACCTTTTCTAACCCCATCCCTTCCTGTGGGAAGGCAGCATCGCTGTTATGCTGGATGTCTGAAGGAAACATTTTACTGCCGTCACACCTCTATACATTCGGCAGTACGACTTAGCCTTCGGACCTTGGGATTGCTGCTTTTAGTTTTACCGCTCTTCAATCGACCTGTCTGGCATGGTAGGACCTTGAGGAACGATTATTCCAGCCAGTATAGCTCGATTGATTCATCACGATAGGCAAGGCTGAACAACACGTCAAGGTAGCAGCAACGGTTGGGACTCTTCAATAAAATTGTCAATATCTGAAATTGATTTAGTGATAAAGAGTACTACTTGCGCAGTTCCCTTTCTGACCTTGAATCAGTTGGGAAAAAGCTAAAACTTCAGTGACACTGAAGAGTCAAATACAGAGAGTTCGAAAGTCATTAGGAATTCACACCCGTAAATTCTCAAGCGATCAAACGCAGGGATTTTATGTATCGACACGGGTGAACCAAACGAGCAGAAACGCAGTGGTTGTTTTTTTTATACCTAAAATTATCTTTAATTGAATTCACAGGGTACGGACTGTTATTTGCAGAAGAAACAGTTAAGATTGAGACAATTGATTGTTATTTTGCAAACTAACTATTGACCATATGGTTATCAGAATTTCGTGAGATAGTCTGTAATTTGTGTCTAAATACATTCGATTGTCCCCAAATAGTGTTTTGTTCACTACAGTAGGTAATCAATACTAGTGACAGTATAAGTATGGGAAAATTAAAGAAGCTACAACAAAATTAGAATTTTATAGTTAAGATCATGAGTCAATTGAGGCTAGACCACCATCGAAAACCTGGAAGCACTGGACGGCCGTTTCGTCCTATTATGGGACTCCTCAGCAGTGCGCATCCACGAACCCGCTCTCGCGAGATTTGAACCCAGGACCTACCAGTCTCGAGCCGGAGCCCTTAACCGATAGACCACTGAGCTGGCATCCAACGGTGTTAATGTCTAACCTCAACCAATCCACGAAATTGCGCAACCAACTTCCAATGTACTGAGGTAGATACCTGTCTCTACCTGACATGGATTAGCTCCACTGGCCACGAATCTCGCGAGAGCGGGTTCGTGGATGCGCACTGCTGAGGAGTCCCATAATAGGACGAAACGGCCGTCCAGTGCTTCCAGGTTTTCGATGGTGGTCTAGCCTCAATTGACTCATGATCTTAACTATAAAATTACTAAATCTCCACAAAAACCCCCCTTGTGAAAATTAGAATTATTGTTACAAAAAAATGGTTAGAAACTATTTGAAGCGATGTACACACAAGAGTACTATTTAGAAAATAATTTTTAATTATTAAGTGATACATATATAATGTAGATTAAATAAATTAGAATGAAAAATCTTTACAACTTACTGGTCGTTTCCATAAATCTAATGGTAAATTACCTTCTTCACGATTACGTTCTTTAATTACTAAATCAGTTTGTCTTACAATTAATTTTCGTAAATCTGATATCATGAACAATTCAAATGCTTCAATTAGTTTAAGTAACTGCAAATAAACCACAAGAATAAGAATAAGAAATAATAATAATACAATTTGAAATGAAGAATTTCTTCAAAATCATTGGATATTAGTATTTTCGTAGTTGAAAGCGTGAGTCAATTGAAGCTAGACCACCAGGGAAAACCTGGAAACAGTGGACGGGCGTTTGGTCTTATTGTGAGACTCCTCAGTAGTGCGCATCCACAATCTCGCCTCGCGAGACTCAAATCCAGGACCTACCAGTCTCGCGCCAGAGCACTTAACCACTAGACCACTGAGCCGGCATCCCATGGTGTTTATGTCTATCTCCAACCAATCCACGAAGTTGAGCAACCGTTCACCAGTTGTCTTTAGTTAGTTGATATCTCGCAACAGACGTGGTTTGAACTCCACTTGTATACTGCTTCTCACTAGAACTCAGTGTTTTGTCATTTGTAAATTATAAGTCCCATCGTAATTTTAACACATTTTAAACAGGATTTCGATAAGATGAAGTGTTTAGTTTTATTTAGATAATATTTTCGTTGAACTATCCATTCTTGTCCTGATTAATTGAATGATGCTATTGTTCTAACTCTCATAAGGTTTTTTTATTTTAGAAAAAAGTGAATGCTATCGCTTTATTCATTTGAAAGAAAGACAGTTTTTTCAAAGTACTAAGATTGTGTTTCATTAATGAAATCTTTTGTACAATAAAATAATTTTTATTCTGTTCAACTAGTAATGGTACTTATCACGGAAAAATTACTGCTATACTACACCAACGAAATTAAAAAAGTGATCACTAAAATTTTTACTTTTGTAAAAGTTGTTTAAGTTATTGAAATGGTGAAGATTTATAGCTCAGGTGGATGACTTTCGTGGAGTTTTGTTCTCTGAGCTGAATGGTTTGGTCGTGGAACTTTCATCGTTATTCTGAACGACACTTCTACCTGAAGTTTGTGTTGACGATGTCGTTCAGAATAACAATGAATGCTTCACGACCAAATCATTCAGCTCAGAGAACAAAACTCCACCAAAAAATGTTTAATTTAACTAGTATTGACTTTTTTCATGGACTAACACTTCTTTTATCGTATCTAATTTTAATCGATCATTCCCTATATTAATAATATGCCAATGATAAATCAGTCATTTACACGTGCATATTGGTTATATAACTCAAAGACAGTATTATGAAAGGTTGTTTTATAGTGATAACCTAGCTCACTTATCAATTTAATTGAAAAGAAGTTCAGTTTGAAGTCGATCGAGCCAATCTAATTTAAATCCTTTTACTGTATATCATGTATCCTAGAATAATGGTCAAAATATCAAATATAATAGTACTTGTTATTAATAGAACTATAATATTTAAGGAAATAACTTACTTGACGTTGTCTAACAATTATTTCTGGAATATTCTTAGGTATTACAAATATGTTAGTATCATTCAATGAAGCAAGTGTATATATATCAGGTTGGTTGAATTGAAGTGATAAATTTCTTATTAAAGAATATAATTGTTCATTTTTATAAAGTGAACTATAAATGTATAAAAAGACAATTTTATGATATTTGATTTATAAATCGTTTAGCTGTGTTAAGTACAGAATTATTGAAGTTCTTAATTATTACTTTTGAAACAGTCAATAACTTTGGTATATTTAGAGGATCTAGTCAGAGGACAATATTTTATAAAAGCTATGTGATATATTGATATAATACATTTCGAACAATCCGAACATACATGTGTTAAGACATTTGGGTCTGGAAAAATAAAGATTGACAACTGGAATGATAAGCAGTGAAAATATGAGTCACATCACTCTGGGTAATATATCAGTATTATTGGGATAGGTTTAATGTATGTACAATTTATTTTTGAGCGTATAAGATGGGCGGTTAAACTTTCGTATAGCTTCCATAAACTTAATTATTCGACCTAGGTAGCTTTTACACAAACGATAAAGGTTGAGTAAGGACCAGTCTTCTGACGTCTTTCAACCGTGTATGTTTGCATTTGTTAACAGAATAAATAAAATAAAATGATGAAATAAGAAATTACAAGAATTTGAAATAATGTACAAGTCCCTTCTTCTCCAGGTCGATGAAGTTTCACAACCTCTTTAATCAATTTGCTATATTTTATCATTGTAAGCACGTGAAGGCTTAGAGATACCGGTGAACAAAAAATCTGGAGCATACGATGCATATTTACTACTTTCAAAGTCCATGCTTTACAGCCATAGAGTGATACAGACATGCCTCACAAATAAATCAGTAAATTAACTAACAGTGATAATCATATGCAATTAAGTCTTGGGAACAACATTACCGATAAATCAAAAATACTAATTAAACAACACTTTTCAATCCATCTATTATGATGCACTTAACATAAGCGAATCAACTTATGATGGATAGAGCAGCTAAAAGGTAATGAAATTTCCTTAGAAAATCACAAATTTTTTCCTTTATTTTGTTGTTATTTGTCTATTTGTAATTAAGCTTGAAAAGTAATGAAAACCACTGATAGTGCATGTTGGAAATATATGAATTATTCAAATGAAATAGATTATGTGAAAGAAATGTTTCCATCTTACAATTGAAACTTACCAGAACATTTTAAATGTTTTTGATGTATTAATCCGTTCAATGCCAAGCCGACGTGTTCCCCATGCATATTTTAATGATTCAATACGTTTCCGTAAAATTAAGTATTTTTTAATTAATTCATATGCTGCAATTGGTGTATTCAATATACTCAATTTAATCATTTCTGAATCTGAAATAGAATTAATTGAAAAATATACACTGTATGTTATAACTTCAATAACGAATTATTTAATAAAGGTTTGTGAAGATCACTTTAATTTAATACATTGTGACGATAAATAAACATTATTACAACATTCTTTAATACACTTACATGAACCATTCTATTAGGTGTAAATATTATTTTCTTGAATTCAATCGGATAAATACCCATTGATGTTCAGGACTGTGAAAATTGCCTCTATATTGCCTTCAGTCAAAAGAATTATACGCTAGCCATCATCATCCCAGCTTGTAAAGCTTTTAAATTAAGTAGATATGGAAGCAATGCGCATAGGATGCACATATATCAATGAGAGACTGATCAACTGCAGTCCTAAACATCAATGGGAAGATTCAAGCAACTAATATGAAAATAAATTAAACTTCACACCATTGAACAAGCAAGTGGCTATCAGGGTTCAGTAGTTAAGTGGATAACGCAATGATGTTTAAAAGCGAACGGTAATGAGTTTCAGTCCCGGAGTGAACATCAACTCTGGGATGCAGGTACATCCAACTGACGAGTCCAAAATAGGACAAAACGTGCGTCCTAGATTTCACCGCCCGCCACTGTTCAACTTTATTCAAAAACTCATAACTAGATGTTAACATCGATGCAATTCTCTCAGGATACCCTTATACCGACAGTGGCTAATCATTTACATTCCATAATATCAATAAGAGTGAATATATTACTACACACGATAACGTCGTACCTATTGAACAAGCTAATGTGTATTTGGACTGAGTAGCTCAGTGGACAACGCTGTGAGGTTTGAAACGATAGAATATAGGTTCGTATATCACTGTAAACATCAACATTGCTACACAAGCACATTCAGCAGACAATGGCGAAACAAATGCAATAATCATCTTAGATTCCACTGCAAAGCACAAACGATGTGATCTAAATATATTGATACGAATTTAGAAATATTTCATCATGACACAGCAATCTGAAAGTTGTTAAAAAACATACTATATTTCATGCTCGAAGATAGGAAAGTAATCATTTTACTGGGATCAGTTATCAAGTGAAGATGTTTTTAGAACTCGGTCAAACCCACTAAAAGATTTTACTATTCTCCACCGAACAAAATGAGTCCAAATTAAATTTGTATTTAATCACTTAACTGCTAATTTGTAAACGATTTACATGTATATTTAAACAAATTAAAAAACTGTGGTGAACCTAAGAACTTTAATGTCTATTCATAAAATTCAACGTTTTACTAAGTTGACCTATGATGACATTTTGATTTTTACCTTTAACTGTATTACGATCAAAATCTTGGATCTGAGTATTTGTAGTTTGTCTAACAACTAGTTCTTCAGCTTCAGATGTTCCCTCACGTTTCTTGTCTTTCGTACGTTTGCCAAGTGTAAGGTGCATATTATCAGCCTCTTGAATTGCCAGTCTGTCACCTGCACAAGCCTCTACTAAATCACCAGTTTCAACGATATCATCCAATGTTAAGTTCATAGCTAACAGTTCACCGTGTACAGTCGGACTATAAAAAAGAGTTGAAAAATAGTCAAGCACTGACGAACAGTTATGAAGTTACTTAAAAATCATATTGAACCTAGTATGTTTATATTTTAGTAAAATATTTCATACCTCTTTGATAACTATTAACTAGTATATATTAAGAATAAAACATTCATTCATTGGTATTGCATCAGAAAGTTTATAATTTGTTCGAGATACTTCTTCATATACAACGCGCTCGGAGCAAACTGAACAACAAACTGAAAGTATTAGATTTGTAAACAACACAACATGGCTTACACGCCCTTTAATCCTATACAGATGTAGTAGATCAAAATTATGTTTTGGCCACATAAACCAATATACCAATGTGTATTAAGTCACGTAATAATTACATTACCACCATGAAATGATTGTAATTTATAGACATCATATATGTGCAATTATTTGTTCAACGAGACTTCCTTATTGAATTGTGACAAGGCAGATGTTTGTATTGCTGATGATTTGGTAGTTCAGGCGTTCACTTTTATAATAAACTAGTCGTAATGAAATACATAATACTATTATTAGAAATACTACTACAGTGTGAATGGCTTCAAAAGAAATCAAGATCAAAAATGATTTACTGTAATCGTTAAATGTGATAACCAATTCAGCTTCATATATTATGTACTAAAACTCATTTTTAACATAAAATTTGTAAACAGAATTCATAAAGTTTCATACCTTCCTTAGATACGTCAGACAGTCTTACACAATGTAAAAACAAATAGATATATGCAATAGTGAAAGTTCCCATACCACATCAGTACAATCAGGTAAAATTATAAACATGAAACCCAGGTAATTGAAACAGTGTCAGTGGTAGCGGTCGTGAGAGAAAATAGCCATAGATGTTATGATTCGAGAAGCAAGAATGAAATTATAGAATTAAAAGAGCTCTAAGTTTGAAACTTGGGATTTCATTAGAGAAAAGGAGTGAATATATCTGAGAAATTACAATCCACTCTAAGCCACGTTTACGAAGTCTCAAACCACTGGTTAAGATAACTTTATTACCTCAATAAGAAAGTTTGAACTCATCAACACTCCTTAGTTTAACGGGTAATGACTTCACAGATCCATGCTGCATCTTGGTTTGGTCATCTCCAGCTTTCTTCCTGCTTAACACCACATCAGTCACAATCATATGTCGAGGTAGGCTACGGTTAGGAATATATAATTCCTGTCCCAAGTATCTCAATCGAAAACGAGTCACTATATAACTAATAGATTTTGCATTCTTTACCTAGTACCGTGCGTCGAATCTCAGAGTTGCTAACACAATAGTCTTAACATACGTATACTCATTGCCATGAAGGCATCAATCACCAAATATTAGTAACCTACGAATATCTCCTCTTTTTAAAGGTAATGTTTTACAGCCATAAAGTAGAACGGAGAGGATGGATGTACAGTAATTTGATTCTTTTATCGGCAGACGTGCGTTTCGCCTGCACCATAAGTGACACAAGTTTCCAAAAGTCAACCAAGCCTTTTGAATACATGCACAGATTTCATAAGACATAAATTCACTAGGAGTGATAAGACTTTCAAGGTAAGTGACGTTAATCTTACAAATAAGGAGTGAAAGAAGGTTATATCTTGAAGACTTAACTGTACGAATGATTCAACATAAGAATAATTTATAAGAATCCCAAAAGAACTAGCACTAACATCTCAGTATGCAATGTGGTAAGATATGGTTGTGTTGTTAAAAACAATAAGATTTATTGCTAATGGCGAAACATTACCCATACAATCATTTAATTGACTTGCTCATACTTTAAAAATAGATTATTTGCAAACGACTCACCGGTCAACTGGTTTTAATCCAGCTAAACATAAACGTATATTATGTTCTATTTGTTTCCAACTTGAATTAAGCTGTAAATATGGACCGTAATAATTTATCATCGTACGCCATGGGAGTATTTCTTGAGCTTTATCGTCTTGAGGCTCCAATGGTTCTGGTATACTTAATTCAATTGCATTTACACATGGACGTGGAGAATTAGATAATTCAAATAATGGAAAACGACTATTTTCCGTCAATTCCTAAATGTGTGCAAAAAATAAATTATATTACTTCTATGTTTATGTGATATGCTAATTACTACATACTGTTACATGGTGTTTCCTAATAAGCATTATGCATGGTAACGTCACTAATATAAGTCACAAGTGTCACTTTTTGGATATTGTCCAATAAAAATAAAAATTACAGAGGCCAACCGTTAAAATATCTGTTTGTACACTAATCATGTATTGAGCAGAGAACCAGTTTAATGGAAATAAGCATATTTCCAGATTGACATGGAAGATGGTTAACTAAAATCAACTGTGAGAAGTCAACTATAGTATATATGCATCTCGTATAAAATACAAAAACAAAATTACATTTTCCTAAATGGACCATTAATAATCATATAGATTTATGGTTTGCGTTTTAAAACTTTGTTTTCATAGTGTATATTTTTCGATCCAACACCAATATGTTATAAAAATATTACTTTCTAATACAAGGACCCAAATTAAAGGCCTTAAAAAAGTGACTGCCGTACACAGTCTCAAAATTTAAGAAATGATGCACATATGAGTTGAATGTGCTCGCATGACAAATTACTGCGGCGAAATATAATAAGATATAAATTCACTTGGTATTGTTTACTTGAATATTCCAATTGATGTTCAGGATTGCAATCGATCAGTGTCTTATTGGCATATGTGCATCCTGTGCGTACTGCCTCGATATTACTTCAAGTCACAAGCATTATAAGCAAAGATGGATAGTGGCTAGCAGTGGAATCCAAGACGCGCGTTTCTTCCTATTTGGGACTTGTCAGTTGGATGTAGCTGCATCTCATTGCTGATGTTCACTCCGAGACTCGGACCCAGTACCATTCGCTTCAAACACCATTGCGTTGTCCACTTAGCTACTGACTCCAGATAGCCACTTGCCTGTGCCAAGTGAATTTAAACTTCACCCCGTTGTACACGCATATAGTTACCAGTACTCAGTAACTTAAGGATAACGCGATAGCGTTTGAAGCAAACGGTACTGGGTCCGAGTCTCAAAGTGGACATCGCTATGAGATGGAGGTACACCCAGCTGACGAGTCCCAAATAGGACGAAAAGCTTGTCCTGGACTCTATTGCTGGCCACTATTCATCTGTGCTTAGAATGCTTGTTAATAAAACACAATTTTTGAATTATATATTCCCTCAAACGTAACGGACATTAGGACATATAGTTTTGGCACAAACTGCTGGTTTGAATATAGCTTAGAAACTGCAGAAATTATAGATAAGCAAACTGTCTGACTAATTGCTCATATCCTTTTAGAATAATTGAGGTATTAATGCATTTAATTGACTATAAGAGTATAAGGATTAGTGTTACTATAAAGTATTATTAGACGTTGACTACCTGTTTTCTGGTAGTGAAGAAAAACATGTTAAAAAAGTAGTTTGAAATAATTACTGGAGTGATATTCGTTTCCTTTATTTTGACAATATACAAAAATGTCAAGATTTTTCATAAACAAGGACTGTAGATGTTGTTTGCAAAGAAGATTAAATTATGGGTAACTTCTAGGACCTGTTTATAGACTAATATATATATATATATATATATATATATATATATATATATATATATATATATTGTATAGCTGTTGAGTAACTAGATTATAAATATTTATATTCCTTTTATAATAAGTTTTCATTCAATCTATTGGCTACTATTATACGGTTCACCATTCTTAAGTTATCTTCAATCTATTAGTCACTGCATCTCACACTCACATCCACTTTGTATAATTGTTATTTTCTATTTTGTGGTATGATGCGGTCCAATTTGTTCGTATATAAATGAAGTATGTTTTAAATATATGATTTATAAGATGGAAGCTGAGATCGCGTTTTGGACTCAATGAGCAGGACATGGCAACAAGATCAACTAAGGACACGGAGTTGACTCTAGGCTGTTTGGGCTGATTTGGCACAGAGCCAATAACGTGCAAGTTGGTGTTCAGATTAGCGATATTGTCATGTGACATTTAACAGGGCGAAAAACACAACAGTGGAGTCCGAAAGATCAAGACGTAAATCAAACAATGGAACTTATATAACCTGGATATATATATATATATATATATATTTACTGAAACACAGATCATTGGTCGATTTTGCATTTTAATGATCAGGAAATACGTAATAATTTATGACAAAATAAATAGAAACTCGCTAATTAAGGAAACCTAATGAATAGATTTTGATTATCATGTAACTAAAAACAGTTAGTCACAGATTATAAGATGCTCTCAGATCCACTGATGACAATAACATTGAGGATAAAGTCAAAGTTGCAATGAGTAATTAAATCAATAAAATATCACATGATTTAAAAATAACCGTGAATGAATTATTACATTGAATGTAAAAAATACTTCGACTTACGTTATAAGCATCTTCATTACCAGCTGCCAAAAATGTTTCACCTAATATGTTACGTATGCAAAGATCAAATTTCAAAAACATTGTCTCACGTCTAAGGGTTAAAAGTTGAATGATTTGTTCTGGATCTGTTGAATTCGGTAGGCAATTTATTTGGTATTGAATTTCTCTTAATTCTGTGGCTAAATTTCAAAAGAAATGCTGATACAGTAAAATTTATATCTTCATATATATATATATATATATATATATATATATATTAGTTCTAAAGCGTATTTTACGAAAGAAAATGTTTCTTTCATGCTAAATCAATGTCCATTATACAATCTGATATTTAACTAAAAAACACTGTAAAAGCTGACCTACTCCGTCGGTGAAAAGTTCATGATATGAAATTATACAGCAATCTTTATAAAATGACTATATCTAAATATAAGAATGATGAAAGTTAAGAATGAAAAATAAAGGTTATAAATCCTTCATTCATTTTATGCTTCGTTATGAACTTGGACTCCTCTTATCACTTAAATATGCTGGTAACGTTAGGTATGATTTAGATATTAAAAAATATGCTGTGCGTTATTTCTACGTAAAATTCGTATCCTTTTCATGATAATATCATATTTAATCAAACAGGCATAAGACCACCTGATTATGATAATGATTGGTGTTATTCAAACTTTTCTCTTTCTTTAATCTACTAATTACCTTCTTTAAGCGGAACCTCTGAAAAATCAATATTCGTGCTTTTTAAAGAATCATAACACTGCCTAATGAGTGTAAACAAAGTTTAAGAGTACCCTGCTTACGAAATGGCGGTAAACGAATATATCACAGGTAAGTGATCTAAATCACTGGAATGTGATGAACGTAAAAGTATTGTGAAAGAAATGTGATCATTAAATATGAATTTTGCGCGACATGATCTGCGATGAATTGCAATAATCTAATTTATTTAAGTATTACTTTTTATCCCACATCTTAATAATTTGTTTTAATTTGTTTCCCAATTTTATGCATTTTATGATTGAATTTTTCTTATCTGAAAACTCGGTGACTTAAATTTTCATTCTCTAATTTATTCAGTAGCTCATAATCAAGGATCGAATTTGAATATTTAGATAAAGAGTTATACACAATTTCCACATACTACTTCTTAGTTAAATCCTTTTTTTGGGAGGGGTAGGATGACAAAGAATTCTGTTTTTTAATCCTTTAGATCATTTATTCTGCACAACAGTGCCCTAATTAATTAATTGTAATCAAACTATTTTCACAAGGATCGGACATCAGGCTTAAACAAGAAATGCACTGGACAATCGAAGAATTGTACAATTGTGGAACAAGTTTCAGCACGAATGAGTACTATAAATTAAGTCTGTCGGAAAATTGATAAATTCTAATATAGATCATTAAAAGAGTTTCGTACTCATCGTATAAATAAAGGAGGTAAACAGTAGGATATGTTTCTGATTGAGTCGAAGTTAAATGAACAACAACTTCGTAAAACAGCTGTAATTCTTGAATACAAAAACTTAGTGTATGTAACTTTGAACTTCATACGATAAGTCAATAAGCGGTGTTTGTGACTTTAAAACCAGTTCATGACAAATATTAAGTTTAGTTGTTTGCAGTCACAGTCACAAACCTTACATTTGTGTTATAGAGATCTTTTAATGTCCATACTTAGGGGACATTGTTTTCATTTCTAATCCATTGGATTACCGAAACATTATGTATTCTGGTGTTTGTAAATTAATAAAGTTTGTCCATAATATCTAATTCCCTGTACAAACCGAAAATTTCTGAAAGCGATATAAGGGGAAAAGGTTTCCGCTGCTAAAACACATCATAAGAATCATAATGTACAAAATATCGTTTTTTTAAAAGAAACACAACTCTAACGTAGTCTAAATTTTCCGTATTTTGCTTACTATAAGAGTAAATGATCGCGTTTAAACAAATGATGTGAAACGAAAAATAAAATCTATAACTTAATTCAAGCTGAATTTAGTAGCGTTTCAACCTTAATTTTGTATCTTCAGATGTATAATAATCTAATCACATGTTGCGAAACTTGTCGGTTGTATGTTAAATAAATCACTTAACCAAAAAGGTACACTTTCTGTGCAAATTTATCACCAACAAATAAATAAGAATAGTTTCAGTATCAACTACATAAGCATTAAAGAACACTTATTTTTAACTAGATAATTTACCTATTAACTGATCGACAGCTAGACTGTGCTCTTGTATGTTGGAATCCAATGGTGTAGTAGGGTCGGCTAGTGTTGACGATATCGATGACCTACTTCTATTTGAACCAGCTGATGTGACATTTGTAGTTGTTTGTTTTGAAGAATTAACTGATTTTCCAATTGTTGATTTTATTTGATTCTAAAAAGTGTATAAAAACATAAAGATAGATTCTTACTTACGTATCTTTAGACAAAACACTTTGTGTAATTCTGTCTATCAATTTAAAACAGGGAAATCCATTGAAATATGATTGTTAATTATTTATAATCTTGAATTGCGACGAACGCGAGGCTTTTGTGAACTCTGAAAATGTATATTTAATAATATTAGGTAGTCAAAAGCAGTCAAGAGGAAATCTAGGACATGGGACTCATCATTAATGTGAATCTATAATATTAAGGTAACTGATACTCTTTAGTGAGTTCAAGTATGTGTCACATAACAATTTTGGATGAAACTGAAGGAGTATACAAGCATGACATCGGTCTGTATTCAGGAGTAATTAAGTGTAGGTACCGTAGTTTAATAAAAGGTCAGCCTTCAATGAGATAGCTTGGTAGTGTTTTCACAAACTGTTAAGTCGGGTGATATAGATTCGAATTCAACAGGGAACATTGATTCCTAACATTTCTAAGGTATCCATTTATGATAAATCCGAAACCTCATGAAACTAAGGTGTAGGGTTTTTTGTCAACTCTCTATAATCACATGACATCCTTACTTAGTTCACACGATGTTGATTTACTTAAACTAGTAGCTACACTTGAATTTGGTAGATAAAATTCGTTCAGCATTAAGAAACTTGAAAAACAAAACATTAATCGGTACTCAGTGACCAATCGTTTATAGCTTATAGTGTTCAGTTCTTTTGTTACTCGTAAGGTGATTTTTAAAGAAATCTCGATATTGATAAATGGGCCTGTCAAGGAAAAAAATGAAATAAAATTATACACTTTCTGTGCAAAGAAAAGTTATGAAGCACAAAAGTGCTACAACTTTTAAACTAATAATAACTAAGTGGGATCACTGAATTTGAAACGAGAGTACGGAATGAGCACGTTTGAAGGTGAATGTAAAATACTCAGTTTGAAAACTTACAACATTCGGTTTACATGCGAATCTAGATTAAATAATGAAGCTAGAATACTTGAATTCCATTGTAGAGCTCTGATTATCTAACTCAAAAGCGCATTTAAAACATGCTCATCGTGATCAGATAAACAGGTTAATCAAAATTATTCCTCTTCAGGTAACTAAAACTGTGTTTATGAATGCGACTATCGTTAAAATCAAGAGTTGATAACCCTGAATGCCATAAATTACAATCTTTATCTCTATTATCAAAGCCATCATTATTCTTTTCTGACGTCTTAATATGTATACTCCAATCTGTCGTAGGCTTTGTCATCCTGTTTACGATTTCTAAGTTATTTGACATTTTTATTTTGTTCCCGATTGTTATATCCGAGGAAGATTGTATTATGGTTAACTACTGGGATCTATTTATTGACTCTCCCTCTCTCTCTCTCTCTCTCTATATATATATATATATATATATATATATATATATATTCTTATTGCATAGTTGTTAAGTAACTAAATTGTATATATTTATATTCCTTTTATAATGAGCTTTCGTTTAACCTATTGACCACTGTTATACGATTTACTATTCCCAAGTTATACCCAATATATTAGTTGCAGTATCTCACAATCACAGCCACTCTTAGTTTGATCTTGTATAATTGTTATTCTCTATTTTGTATTATGATACGAACTGATTTGCTTGTATATAAACGAAGTATATCTGAAACATATGATCCATACAGTAGAAGCTGTGTTCTGGACTCAAAAGGCAGGGCTAGACGAGAAGGACCAATAAGGACCATAGGCTGTTCGAACCGGTCAACAAGTCATTGTTTCGGCAGAGTACTAAGATTATATAAGTCGCGTTCTTATTGGCTGTTTTACCACGTAAGAATTGACAGGCCACAAAACAACGATGGTTTCTTTTATTTTACAAATCTTTTACATAGTCAATGTATCGCTCAGCCAAATGGTAATCAAAGTAGGAAAAATAAGAAGTGAACAGTGACTGAAAGCAGATACAAACTACGTTTTTGACGTGTAATTATAGCATAAGCAACATACAACTTTCAAGTAAATTCAACAAATCTCATAATTAGGTCCACATTATTATAAGGCGCAGTTCATTAGTTTTGTTATCCCTACTCTTATTTCTGCACCTTGATCTCCGTTTCAAAAGAAAGATTTACCACTAATATATTTAATTCAGTCATTGATAGTTTTAAGTACGATTGTTTCTAAAAGAATTTTTAGACACTTTACTGACAATATTTGTGCCGTTTTATATGGCGACATAAACTAGGAGTTAAATATATTCGTTAAATCATAGTTTCAATCCATATCGTTCAGTACATCAAATAAACTATTTCACAGCAACAGTAATCAGTCAAATAACATTGTGTATTGCTATATGAATGAACAAAGAAACCATAACTTTCTCAAAAGATTCTCACTATACAGTTCATGAATGTAATCAAATGTACTGAAAATGAAATTCAGTAATACTATGAAGTATACCTAATAAATGAAAATATACAGAGTAACAGTCAAACGGTGGTTCTAACTTGTGAGTGAAATGTGTCAAAACTATGTTTGCTATACTTAAGTATCATTATACTTCTGTCAATATGTTTTCAAATCATATTTAAATATATTAAAAATACTTGTCTGCCAAATTTAAAAGTATTAGATTTCCGATGATTACCTAAAGTACAATAATTTTTTAATACTATGCTACAGATAACTCCACCTATAGCTCTTCTAGAGTTACTACCGGTCCCGAACCTGGGTAAAGGAGGAGGGTTGGGCATGGGGTTAGCGACCCTATCCCGTAGAAAAGCTAACTCGCTAAAAAAACGCTAACCAGAAGAAATAATTCCAACCATTTAAACTCTACCCTGGGTGTTGAAAGAATAATCATGACGCTTTATGATGAAAGCCGAAATTTTTCGGAAGTCACGAAACCGATGCACCTTCTAACTACCAGAGCAACACTCTTTATAGGTATGCGGAACGTCCGGACAATGTGGGAGACAGGGAAGACCAGTCAAATAGCAATGGAAATGAGGAGATACAACTTGGCAGCACTCCGGGAAATAGAAGCAGATATGAAAAGGATGAATAACAACTGGAAAGAACTAGAAAGGAAGGCTCAGGACAGAGTTGGATGAAGAATGCTGGTGAGCGGCCTATGCTCCTCGACGACGGTTAACAGGTGTAAGTAAGTAAGTAAGTATGCTATAGATATAACTTCTTTATATACCTAAGGAAAATGTTTCGTTGGGTCATTTTAAGACTACTTTTCATATGATTGCCAAGAGACTAAATAAAATAAATGAGATTTGTTAGATCGTTGCACCATCTATGCTCGAAATTGTTATTAGTTTTTGGAGACACTATAAGTGTATAAAGTCTAACTTGTATTTAATATATAAATATTAACGTACATGACATTTAAAAACTTTTTTATCATCATAAGTTATGTATGTAAATTAATGAATTTCTAACAAAGTTATATTTGTAACCTTATATTTATAAATAGATAACATTAGAATGATTATCTCTTAAATTATGCTTACTTTATCAAAAGTTGAGGATATTTGATGTTTTTGTTCAGCAGTTATCCTGGAGGAATTAATGCCTAATCTAGCATATGCAACTAGATAATGTAAAATATCGTGTAAAGCACGAGCTATCTTGGCCATTAAACGCAATGCTTGAGTACAAGCTTCATCATTCAAGTGACGAAATACGAATAAAACTTCAATAAAATGTGGTATAAACCATAAATTATAAAATTCAGTTCCATCTGAAGATAATACACGACGAGGACGATTAAGTAATGATTTGAAGTCAATTTCTTGTTTACCCAAATCTTCTTCAGATGATTTCTTTTCAAAAGCATAACCGATTATAAAAAATTCTTCCCTGCAAAATAAATATTTTAGAAAATACTATTGAGATTCATTCAGATTGAAAATAATGCTAAACTGACTAAAAGTCATGGGTTTATTTTTAGATATAACAGCCTAATAATTTAATCTAGATGATTGTCAAAATATCTCCAGCAAATCATTTAATTTAGTAGCATTCACCAACAGAAATGATACAAAGGCATTATAGAATCTGTTATTCAAATTTTTAATGTCTAGTTTTCCACTTCACTATGCTCAATGAATTTTCAAAATGACTTTTCTGAACGGTAAGTGAACTAGGCCAAAGAATTAGTATTATTGGTAATGAACAGAAAATGTGGAGAAAATGTTCAAGGTTTGCAGTAGATTGCTTCAAAAGTTTATTACTAAAAAAACAAATATAGTAGGCTTAGAGGAGTTTCATTTATGAATAATAAACCGTTTTGTGTTACTGTTGTTTTCAAAATGTTTATCAGTACAAAGAATAAGTTTACAACAACATTAATACCTTATTCACCTAATGGATTCAGTCTTATAAAAATCTTGTTTATAGAATACAAAATAAAATAATTATTAACAGAACGAAGATAAGTTGATTCAATCTAGATAACCTTTATAGATCACAATTAAATAGGAATAATGTACTCAATGTATACTATGTACACTCACAGTTATAAAACAAATAATAGTGACTGTGTATTGATGACTACTATAAGAATAGTTTAGTTGATTATAAAAGAATATGTAACTGACTTTAACAATGAGGGAATTCATAATGTTAATGCAAAGAAAATTATGAAATCAACCGAAATGGAATTAGTATGACAGTGAGCAAAAAAATTAACATAGGGAATTTTTGGAGATTGTAGAAATTTAAAAGTTTAAAAAATGAACTAATCATGGTATGCATCCACGACTTTGTGACCGAGGATCTAATCAATACCTCTGGTTTTGACCACAAGCGAATAATATTTAGATCACTGAACCGGCACTAACGGGATTATTGTTTGATTTCAATCAGTCCACGATGTCGAGTGACCATCTTCCATTGCCTGCGGCGAACAACTGTCTTGTTAGATTTACTATCAGTTTATGTTATTAGGGTAACATGGTGGTTAGAGGTGGTCAACAGGAAACCCTGGACCCGGGTTTCATGCTACTTGGCACTCGTCAGTAAGGTGTACCTGTAATCTTGAGGGAACTGATGCTCCCTGGCGGATTCGATCCCGCGTCACTCAGCTTAACAGTCAGAGACATCAGCATCAGTTCCCTCAAGATTACAGGTACACCTTGCTGACGAGTGCCAAGTAGCACGAAACCCGGGTCCAGGGTTTCCTGTTGACCACCTCCAACCACCATGTTACCCTAATATATATAGTGCCCGCAGTGTCGAGCCACCTAGACTGGTGGCCACATTGCAACTTGATCGATAGCATTCGATCAGCACTAAGGACATGACACGCATGAGATTGATCACCACCCAGTGATCAATCAATTGTGAGTTTATGTTATTATTGGTCCATTAATTCAGTCAATAGGAACAAGATTTATCAATGCGTACTTTTACGCATAAACGCTCAAGAAATGTCATTGGATTTTTGAGAGTTAAGGACTTATACAACTATCTAGGCGATGCATACAGCTTAAACCTTTAGTAAACGATTTAAAGTAATAGAAATTATACAGCAAAACTTTGAAGACTACTTATTACAGGGATGAATGGTTATTCAGACTCAAGAAATGATGATACGTTTCTTTAAAGTACTCCTAAAGAATCGCATAGATGACTATCATAGCAGATTTCTGTTCAAGATTTGGAGTCCCAAATATATATAAATATTTTCATTAAATTATTCCGGAAACATTTGTTTTCGAAAACAATGAACAGGCGAATGTATCAAACATAGTAAATAATACTTTTAAATATGTATCATTACCAAGGTAATGACTTGATAGTTTCCAAGAAATTGAGCGTTGGGTAGATTGTTATAAATAAATTATATATTTGTAATATCACAATGAGTAGAAAAATTAGACTTTCTGACGTTTCGTGACTCAGTGTAAGCCGCTTCTTCAGAGAATCAATAACCAAATCAAAATTAATCGAAGTTTAAATAGTACAACGCAACAATAAGAATATTATTATACTATTTATAATACTTTTAAATCTTGTAATTTCTCCCCCTATTTGTGAATCAGATTGTCTTATGTTCATAAAGTAAATGTTAGGGTTTATATAAATAACATTATTCATTAACTGACAACTGAAAAAACATACCGTACAACAGGTACTTTTTCGAGAGTGATTAATATTGAACTATAAGTTTCAATAATTTGTGCTCTAAGAGATGCATGTTGTACACGTTCGCAGTAATCGTGACAAAATTGTGTAATAAATTCACTGAGAAAGTAAAAAACAATAGAATAATATATTCAGTGTGACCTGATCTGATATTGAAGAACAACATACCATAAGAACAGTATTTTTTTAATGGTATTTCGTTCATAATTGCATTCAAAAGAATAAACAATATTACCAGAGTCATAAAAACGTGAAAGAAGAGTGAAATATTATAAGATTTCTACATATCCTCCAAGTACTATATATATATATATCATCTTTGAGAAATGTATTTAGATAGAACAAATTCCAGTTTACATAACCTTGTTTTCAATCATCCATCGGTATAATCTCAGAAATAGAGTATTGAGCAGAGGTACTGTAGCAAACAGAAAAAAGGTGGGGACAATGGAATGCATCTGACACGTAAATTACAGACTATCTCACTAAAATCTGACAACCATACATCAAACAGTTAATTTGTAAAATAACAAATAATTGTCTCAATCTTGATTGATCCTCCTGCAAATATCAAACCATCTTCTTTGATTTCATTGTTCATGTATTTTCATACCAATCGCGTTCCGTTCCGGTTCTTTTCCTGATCAATCTTCTAGCGAAATACATTCTATGTCTGACCATCACTATATACTACTTATGCAGATATAAGTAACGCATACTACAGTACAGCTTTTGAGTATCTCACTTATTATGAAAATCTTAGAAGTACATCATAAATCAAATGATTTATTTGCTAAAAATAAGTAATTTTCATAGATGAGCAAGTACATACGAGAACGTTAGAAAAACTTTGGGGAACAAAAAAATTCAATTATGAATTACCGTTTCATTTTTTCACTTTCCGCAGTACTTTTAGATGCAGTGACTCCACCACCTTGTGTCTTTTTGATGAATGCATTGCATACTCTATCTCGACTTGGCCCCTTAAAATAATAGAAATAATTTTTCACATTGTGACTTGTGAAATTGTATTATTTATTGTTCTTACTAGCTATGCAACAAAATAAGATTGTCTAAATCACTGTCAATGGATCATAGACGTCAAATGGATTCATAAATTAGATAAGATAATCTCATGACTAATCTCGATATCCATAAGCTATACAAAACTATGGCTGTAATAATGTGAAAAGCTTACAAATTACAAAATACAGTCTGACAAAACATTCCAACAAGCCTTACATAGGTGAATATTTATATATATTTACTATAAAACAGCTTTTTCTTTTCAATCTTACGCAAACAATTTGATGATAAGACATAAAGACAAAGTAAGTATCATTGCCAAGTCTTGATTTGATAATTTTGAATAAATTGAGCATTGATTAGATTGTTATAAATAAATAATATATTTGTAATATCGAATGAGTAGAAAAATTAGATTTTCTGATGTTTCGTGACTCAGTGTAAGCCACTTCTTCAGAGAATAAATAACCAAATTAACAATAATCCAAGTTCAAATAGTACAACGGAAAAATCCAAGAATATTAGGTGATCAATCAAAAATAGGTCTGAGTAAATCGATGTCACGTCATTTCATTGCATAAATGTCGCTTATGAACCACCTTGACCGAAATGAAATGACATTGATTTATTCAGACCTATTTTTGATTGATCACCTAGTATTCTTGGATTGTTCCGTTGTACTATTTAAACTTGGATTATTGTTAATTTGGTTATTTATCCTCTGAAGAAGTGGCTTACACTGAGTCATGAAACGTCAGGAAAACTAATTTTTCTACTCATTGGGATATTACAAACATATTATTTATTTATAAAGACAAAGTAACTTTATTTGCATTATCTAGATAAACACACAAAATAATCTTGAAACCAAATGTTTCGCAAAAGTAAGCACTGATTAGAAAGCATTGTCTGATAAAGAAATATTCACAAAGTAGTTTGTTGTATAATTCAGGCATCCATTTAGAAACGTACTTGCTTCAAAATCTTCAGTTCAAATATCGGAGCTATTTTATTATGAAATAATTTCATCGGGAATATCTTACCCTTACACTTCCAATTTGTTAAATCAGAAATATACTGTTTTATAACTAACTTTTTCCAGTTGAATTGAGAAAAATGCTTCTGGATAGTACTGTGCATTCAGTTGGTGAGTTGACCGTTCAACAGTTAACGGATTTGGAACAATTCGTGTGTCACTGACTTTGTTGTTATTTATTGAGTTATTTCCAGTATCAACAGTACGAATAAGACCATTTCTAAACAGTATGATGTTGAAAATTATAAAGAGTTGTAGTAAATGAGTACCAGGTATTTATTGTAAATCAGTATGATTACCTAATGACTTAAAAATTATTCTTTATTAGATTTTTACATACCATCTCTACCAGTCCTCATGACTTAGCATTGATTTGTTGGAGTATCATGAGTGCAAATGTAGGCTTGGTTACCTTAGTTCATGAAGTGATAAGTAAAAAAATACAATGAGATCTTAACGACACAATTCGAAACAGTGCGGATAAGATCACTTACATATTTTCTTTATTTTACCTCGAATAACCAATACCTTATGTATTCTTAACTGGTTATTTCTCGTTTCCCTCACTGTCTTCATATTTTTTAAAACATAAAGAGAGATGTTTGATTTAGTCTGTTTTCAATGGTCCTCCAACTGACGGCAGTTTATGCTGATAACAGTTGGAATAATAAACCTCTGTTTTTACAAACTAACTAGATTTTTACGTGAGTGTGAACTCATACAGAGAAACTGTAGGGAGTTAGCAGGAAACATTTGACCTAGGTTTGGTGCTCTTCTAAACTCTTCAGAAAGATTTACGTATGCTGTAGTTCCGTGCTTCGTTAATAGTTCACCTCAATAACCGTTACGGTACAAGTCTTAACGGTGCATAATATCAGAAGGCAAAGAGAAGCGGCAACTACATATTTATTGACAAATAACGTAGACCAGAAAGCTGTGAGCAACTGAGCAAATGTAAGCGAGCGAAGCATACATGACACGTATTGGAGATGGCTGGTAAGCCAACTCGAGAGAGCAAAGCTAAAAGCCAGAAGCTAGAATAAAGCATATAGGCTTAACATATAAACTGATGCTACAGTGCCTCTTACTGGACTTGAACCTGCATAAACAATGTTCTCAATCTGAAACTCTATCACTGAGTTTTCTTGGTAGCAATTGAGCACCGTAAGACTGTGAGTTGCACATCAAAAACATAGTGTATGTGATGCTGAATTACTTAGATATATGGCCACATTGAAATTAGACCAACAAAATAGACGAGTATGACATTGGTTATTACGTAGTAAGTAATCAATGTAGAGGAAGATCTATTATGCAAACGAAATCTGGTTTTATCAGTATAGGGTTGTCGAGATAGTTGAGTTTTATTTGAAATCGTGAACGGACTAGTGTTAATTTCACCATTGAAAACGTGGAAGCATAGAACAATCATTTCGTGTGTATCCACGATTACACACGCTAGATTCAAATCCTAGACCTTCAGTCTTGCGCCGTCCAAAGCTTCCACGTTTTCAATGGTGGTCTAACATTCATCAGTCCATGATTTAAATAAATACCGGTTTGAAAAAATGAAACAAGTTGTTGCTTACACTAGTTGTTACAGTGAATTTCGTATGAGTAATAAGAACTAATATTGACGTATAACATAAACATTACTTGACTTTAGGTGCATGCGAAGTATAAAATGCAGGACATCCATTGAATGCTAATAAAATGGCTGCAATCAAGCCATTTTTATGAACAGTTTGTACTTGCAATATAGTGAGCAAATTTTCTATTCCCCTTGGTTCAAGCATCTAAAATTAATAACAAAGCATTATGTAAAACGGTCTTTTATTACTTTTATATTCTCAAAATGTTATCTAAAGTATAACTTTAGTGTTAAAAATTTGGTGGAAACAGAAATGTTTAATCAGGTCAAACCCCACCTTGTTTTATGACTTAGGATGTTGAATATTCTTGAATAAGAAAAAAATCTATTGATATTTCGTAGAAAATACAACACGATAAACATACTGATAAACTCAAATGAACTGTTGACAAAAGCAACTTTACCAACAATATGACAGAATCAATAACATAGACACAAATGGGATATAGAGATTAACGTGGTATACAGGAGAATATTTATTATTTTGAAAAGATGGTCTTGCGTAAAGTTTTTTAAAATATATTAATTTTCAAACACTTAACAATAAAAAGAAAGGTGGATAGTGGCTAGCAGTGGAATCCAGGACGCACGTTTCGTCCTATTTGGGACTCGTTGGCTCGATGTACCTGCATCTCAGAGTTGATGTTCACTCTTAGACTCGAACCCATTACCTTTCGTTTCAAACGCCATTGCGTTATTCACTCGGTCACTGAGTCCTGATAGCCAGTCCTAAACATCAATGGGAAGATTCAAACAAACAATATTATGTGGATAAACAGAAAGCTTATTAACATTCGCTCCGATAGTTTAACTTTTCTATGCACTTAGAAATGTTTAATTGATAGTAACTTGAACAGTTTTGTGTTTAATTTAAGGATTCATTTAAAGTCACATTGTACCAGTATATTTACTGAAGACTAAATATACCAACAATAAATTGACAAATGGGTAACGCATTCAAACGTCCGGTTAAAAATGGTAAATTTGTGTATCAGATATTGTGACATTATAAAGCAGAGAATATTTCAACGACCAGAATCGACAAAATAGGTGATCATGTTGTTTATTATTCTCTTACATAAAAAGTTCAAAATTTGGGATACAAAATATTTGGCTCAGGCAAAAATGGATACGAACAGGAAGAAGATTGAAAAAACAGTACATTACGGATATTAAAATGGTTTTCAGTAGTATAACATTATTTTACAAGTTTTTGACAATTTAGATAAATTCTAGGAAACTGTATAAGTGTGACACAACACTTCATGATTAGTAAAACATGTTTTCATTAATCTAAAAAAATGATTCATAAATATAATTTTTCTTCAATTATTAGGGATACTAACCTCCATAACTGTTGTTTTACCACGAAATGAAAATTTCCCAACTTGTGTTTCATCTAATTCATGAATAGCAAGAGGCAAGGTAGAAGGTAGATACCTGAAAAGCATTTCAAAGAAGCTAGTACGCTAAAACAAAATTTATTACACTGTCAACTAATTAGCTGACATACAAGGTTTAGATGAATAAAAATACAAAATATCAGTGAATAAATTTTATAACTAAACGACTGTGAATAACGCAGTTTAATTAACAATTATTTGAATAGACATTCTTATCTGAGGTTCAATATACAACACTGAATAAAGAAAAGTTAAAAGAAATGTTTCATGATAATTTCTTTTGTGTATTGTTATCTAGTTTGAATCGGACTAGTTGACTGAGCCATTCTCTTTACAAATTAAAATATATATTACTCATTCAAGTTCCCCACATTGTAATGATGATAAGAGCTTAATAACTAAGTTTTTTCTCATTTGAATTATAAGTGATATTCTGTTTTTTATTCTTCAGAGTAATCTTTATGAGCTGTTGGAATCAGGTCTGAATAATGATAGAGTCAAACACTTTTTGAGCAAGTACTATTTCATCAAGTGATTACGTTTGCCTTTCTTCCATTAAATGATTACTTTTAGTAAGTATAGTCACAAAGTACTATTGTAGTGTGGTCTACTTATATCCTTATAAGCAGTATATGGCGATGGTCATAGAGTTTATTTTGGCAGAAGACCGATAAAGAAAGAACCGAAATGAAGCGCGATTGATGGGAAAATGCATGAACAATGGAATTAGAGAAGATGGATTGATATTTACAGAAGGAACAGTGAAGGTTGAGACAATTGGTTGTTAATTTGCAAATTAACTGTTCATTGTATGGTTATCAGAATCTAGTGAGATAGTCTGTAATTTTTGTTCGAATACATTCGATTGCCCCAATCGGTGTTTTGTTCACTAAACTACGATCACCGTAACTGAATTTATTCAACTAATCAAAAAAGATTTACATATTTATCATAACATAATAAGATATGTACATGTAATGTTATGATACTATGGTTCTGCTGGCAATCGACAAACCAATGAAAAACATTCTGTGAAGATCAAAATAAAAACAATATGATTAGTATATAACTATTTAAGGTCTGGTGGATAGTAATTTCGGATAGTCATCAAGAAAGCTAAGATCCAAGTAAGTATATAAGGATAAATAGAGAAGAGCATTATGGGAGTATGTTTGTTCATCTTGTGAAAACAGTCATATTAATCTCAAATCCATTCAGTGCTCTAACACTTGAAATATACCATTGATTTGATTTTAATTTATGTAATAAACGTAGTAGTTTAGAGAATATTCAGCTGAATAAAAGTTCATCACTATGCTGAATAAAAAAATTGATATGTTACCAAAATAAAGACAATAAATGGAAACATTAAACTGCTTACTTATCCAATAAAGAATCATCATCGTGAATAGATGTAATATATATCGGTGGTTTCAATTCCTCAACACCTTCTTTGTATTTAGCTGATTCAAATTGTGATGGTCGAATAAATAAATGGAAATAATTAAAACCCATTTGATTAGAAACGCTTAAATATAATTTGGATAAAATTTCACATTCCCAAATACAATCAAGTAGACGATGACGCAATGTGACCAAATCTAATAAACGACCTAATTCATTTAATAAAAAATTTTGACGTGTTTTCTTATCACCACGTGAATTGCGTTGTTGCACAGATAATATATATTGATTACACAATTCTGACATTTGTACTACATCTTCAATGAAATAAGGTGAAAATAACTAATTGTTCCAGAAAATGATTACATAATAAGATGGTATCATTTATATGATATTTGTATGTAGATGATACAGCGGAAGCAGAAAACGATAGTATAAAACGAAAGAAAGAAACACAATTGAAACGTTAAAATAAATAGAAAAATATATAATAATTTGGTATAATGGTGCATGTTCAATGAAACCATAAGTCCTTGGAATAATATTGTAAAAATTGTACGATAATATCGAGCATATTTTAGCGAAGTATGTATTATTTTGGTTGTAGAAGTATTTATGGAGATCAGTTCAAACAAATCGTCAACAAAAATTGAATAATGTGATTTCCAATATAAGAGGGCCCAAAAACAGTTTTATTGCTGTATAAGTCCTCCACTGGTTAATCATCATAGACATGATTTCAGGTCTATAAAACGTCCAATTAGCTGTAATTAATTTAGCAATGGCTGTGTTTTGTTAGTTTACTCATAACTGAAATAAACTGAGATTACAATTTATTTATTATTTCTCTGATGAGTAAGAAGTAATTTATTCATTCTCACCGAAACATACCTAACCAAATACATTTGAAATCTATTTATTATTAAACTAATTACACACTGTTATACATTGAAAAACTTACATCTTTTTGAATTTGTGCTGTATAAGATGTTCCTAATGGTCTCCATGTATCAACTTCATTCTTTAGATAATCAAAAAATAATTTTTCCAATATAATGCGTTGAATTTGACGTTTAGGTGTTAACATAGTGATTGTTGTACGTACACTTTCATCCATCGATTCAATTAAACTTGGTGTACATGATAATGATGGGTGAAATTCTAATAAGTATACTGGACATAATACTGGCCTTGAAAAAATGTATAAATGTGTAAATTCACATTAACCATAAAATGAATGAAAATATAGAATTATTTCTATAAGAATTATGTAACCTTAACAACCATTTGTCTAACAGAAATAAATCATTAAACCTTAGAAATACCTTTCAACATATGTGTTGTTGTTAAAAGTGGATAAGACTGTAAATGCTAAATATATTAACCTTAGTGAATTGCCAATCAGTCAGCTACAACGTAGGACCAAGCATATTTATGCATTGGCCCAAGTTCCCATACCTCGTTAGCGCGTCGTGGTAATCGGTGTTCAGACATATATCAAACATTTCAGAGTGTTTAAAGTAACAAAAGACAAAGTCAATAAAAGCCATTACTTATTGAATTGAGCTTACTTAAGAAATGTAAACACTTTTGATAAACAATTTTTTTGAATGAACTAAAAGATAACCTAGTGGAGATGCTTTTGCTTATTTATCTATCATTATTTTTTTTGGTTAGTTTTTGGTGTCATTATTTCTAATGTTACGTTTTAATTCATTGGTTGCAGATAAAGTAAATTGAAACAATACATTGTTAACTACAAAAACTCTTTTAATGAAGCTGGGTAAAACTTGTTAATTGATAATTATTTAAAGTTTAAAAGAAGCGTTTCATAACATAAGAACACATAAATGACCTAAGAAACAAAATTCTTAGTTTAAACATTGTTAATCATCATCATTTTTCTGACTAAGTAGTTTCCTGAAAGTCATACCAACACGATGTTCGTAAATCTTAACCTACTTTAAATAATCTAAGGGAATCATGTACTTACAATATAAGGAGTGGTGTGACATTATATATGTTGGCTAAAACGAAATAAGACTTATGTTCAGAAGCGTCTTGTAAAAATACATGTTTTGACAATAAGTTGTACACTGATGAGTGAAACTGAAATGAAAGTATTTTAGTTTGATGATATACATATAATTAAAACAACGTCACGATTGGGGAAATTTGTATTTGGTAAATCAGTTGATAAGGTGATGAATCTTCACCGACTGAGATGGTTGGGCCACGTGTTACGTATGCCTGAACACCGATTACCACGACGCGCTATGATGACTAGTGTAGGGGATTGTTGGAAGAGAGTTAGGGGCGGCCAAACCAAAACATGGCATCAGTGTTTGAAGTCACTAACTTCTAGTCTGAGCCATGTTGGTAGATGCAGACTACAGGGTTGGGGTCCGCGTGACTATCGTAACCAATGGTTGGAGACTCTGTGTGACATGACTCAGAATCGATCACAATGGCGTAGGTGTATACACACTTTATCTTCCCTTAAACCTTGAGACTAAAATTGCTTCATATCTCTCTTCCTTCCTGTATTATATCCTTATATACAACCTTTCTTGATATACTACCAAAAATAAATTAATTACTTCTATGAATCCGGTGTTCGTCTTGTTGTACTAACGAGGTATGGCAACTTGAACCGATGCATGTATGTGCCTGGTCCTATGTTGTAGCTGACTGACTGACTGTATTTCACCGTAAATTAGATAGCTTTTTTGGAGATCAATCAAATAAATATCTATTTTCGACACCACCTTAGGAATATTAATAAACGGTAGTGTGGTAGTTTTCTTCATGAGCACGTGCAATTGTAACGTAAATAATGCTGGGAAATCTGGAAACAAACAGACTTTAAAAAAATATATAGTGGAAGCATTTTGACGATTTAAATGACTTTGGCTTTGATGACTCAGTCTTCAGAAGTAAATTAACCTAAACAGTGACTACGACATCAACTCATCAGTTTTTATTTCTTTAAACGTTTCTGAATTTTTCAATCATTCAGTGATTGTAAAAAAACATGGTATGCTTGTTCAAATACTAGGAAAACTTACTCATCTGTGTTCGAAGCGATTAGACATTTTTCAATCAGCGGTGGTGGTAAACCATACTCTACTTTATCTGCATGGAGTTTCTTCAAATATTCTCGTTCGTTCGAAATCTTAAAAAAAGCATGAGGTAAGAAACTGATCATCTTAAAATGGGTAATGATGGTTTTATTATTTTAACTTTGTACAAATATTATTGCTTTGGATATAATACGGTAATAACTATTAATTATAAAGACTCTTAGAATAATAGATTTCTGAAAATTGCTTGATTCGAAAAGTAGGGATATACTGTAAACTCGCTCACTTATTGTCCAAACAAAATAAAACCTGCAACATCGTCGCCACTGAATTCAGCTTCAAACTATTTGGCGATATCTCAACCGGTACTATGAACTATAAGACCCCATTGATTGAATTGAAGTGTTAAAACATACGGTAACTCAACACTTAATTCTGATACTTATAGTCACTTGCATGTAGATGATTACTTATAAAAATGAAAGTTTTATCACTTTCAATAAAGATTAAAACGTACTGCAATGAAAATTCACCCAGAAAACTGGTTGATAAAATCAAGATAAACAGCATTACAACAGGGAAGTGAACAAGACATTTATCACGTAGAATGTTCGATGAATGTTTAGTAAGTTCTATGTATTTTAAGTTATTGAATACTCTTTCCAAGTCATACTCATTACGTAGTACTGACTTATAGATCAATATATGCATCCATTTTATTAATCGACCACATCTTAGACACTCAAACCGATCATCTCATTCACATGTTTGGGGAAACGTGTTTAGGTTCACATTTTAGTGTCAAGTCACAGTCTAAAAAAGGTATAGACCCCATTTGCTACGTGTTCTCATTCAACACAAAGTTAGTAAGCAACAAAGTTAACTTTCTTTAGCTTAAAATTTACCATCTTCAAATGAGAAACTAAAGTTTTATGTATTTTCACAAATGATTCTAAATCGGAGTATCTCAATGGTCGTATAACATGTAACCAACACTAATTTAAACATTTTTATGGAACGGATGATGGCTAGCAGTGGAATCCAGGATGTACGCTTCGTCCTGTTTAAGACTCATCAGCTAGACGTGCCTGAATCCCAGAGTTGATGTTCACTCCGTGACTGAAACTCAATACTTTTCGTTTCAAACGCTATTGCGATATCCAATAAGCTACTGAGTCTAGATAGCCACTAGCTTGTGAAATGTGGTGAAGTTTTAATTAATTTCCGTATTGTTTGTTTTAATCTTCCAATTAATGCAGGTATGTCCAGCTGACGAGTTCGAAATAGGATGAAATGCGCGTCCTAGATTTCACTACTAGTCACCATCTACCCGTGTGTTTATAACTCTTGTGACTCAATTTTTACAGTATCCACATTAGCCCAAAAAATCTTCTTGATGGCAGTCCTAAACATCGATGGGAAGATTCAAAATAACAATACCAAAATGAATTCATATAGAACATTCTCATAATATTATTAAAATGTTTTTTTAGTTATATTTCAACCTACTTGATTATTTAAAATGGATTTCATTATTTCTTTGCGTTGTCTTAAAATAGCACATTCATATTTGTAAGCTGTCACAAAGTAATTTTCATTCAAATCTAGTCTAGGTCTTTTATACATTAAATCAGTCATCATTTGTGCTAATTTTCGTCGACTATCTCTTGATATTATATGATTATATGCTTCCACATAAATATCCATTAGCTTTTTAAAATAATGAAAACAAAAAAAACAATTATATAGGAATAATATATTTGTAAAATCTCAGCGAATGAATTTGTAGTAAATCCAACGTTTCGCCTGGCAATCTGGTCCAATCTGGTCCAAATACTGTGAAACTATTCTCTCTAATTTAGACGAGAGTTCTTATATAAAAAAACAATTATGTTTTTAGATAAAATTTCTAGAGTATATCAAGTGTAACACTTTACGTGAATATGTTATAATGTTCTATTTTTTGCTTTTATTTAAACAAAAATGTTATTATCAACATTAAGTTTTTTTAACAAGAAATAAACAGTTAATAATTAATCAGAAGGGGGTTTTGTGGAGAAGAAACAATACATCAATTTCATAGTTGAGATCATGAGTCAATTGAAGCTAGACCACCATAGAAAACCTGGAAGCACTGGATGGCTTTTTCATCCCATTGTGGGACTCCTCAGCAGTGCTTACCCACGATTCCAACCCAGGACTTATAAATCTCACACGTAGGCGTCTAATCTCTAGACCACTGAGCCGGCATCCAACAGTGTTAATGTCTAACTTCAACCAATCCATGAGATTGAGCAACCGTCTACCATTATCTTCATAAACAATTTTAACCAGTAATTTCTATTAAGATGATATGATATTTCTAAAATTCTTAAAAACTGAAAACTATTAAATTCAGTTCTAATTATTTCCTTTTTTACAAGCTCAAACCAGTTTGTTGAATGGAAATTGATTACCATTGAATATCAATTACTGAAATTTTGACGAAATAAACCTTGATTTTAAACATTCTTCAGATATATTTTAAAATTATGCACTTAAAGTTAAGTGCTCGTATGCGAGACTGATAGGTCCTGCGTTCGAATCTCACGAGGCAGCATCGTGGAAGCGCACTGCTGAGGAGTCCCACAATAGAGAGAGATGGTTTTACATGTTGGTCTAGCTTCAATTGACTTATTATTTCAACTATATAAAATTTGATGAAAGTATTAATGGCTAATCACATAATTCAGTCAGTAGCTTCATCGGCAGTGAATTTCGAAAAAATTTAATAATTCCCATTTTTATCTAAATCCTCACTTACAGATATTTTTTAATAAATGTCGTAATCAAATAGTAATTTTTAAAATGTAATTATGTTAAACAGAAATCATCATTTTTTCCAAGACTTCGCGTTTATCATTGTCTTAAATATTTATTTGTTATTAACAAAAAACAATGACAGGTAAGAATAGTAAGGCAAATTAATGTATTGTTGGCAAGAAGTTTCCGTAAAGTTACATAAATTTAATCTTTTACAAAATTTCAAGCAGAACAATAGTAAAGCATTCGAAATAAAACAATGATTTCATTTCGGTTTGCTTACATACTAGCTTTAAATTAATAATTTCTTAAACGACACACTCACATTTTTCTTGGTTTCTTGGAAAGTAGTTTCATTCGACCAAATATCGTATAATATACCGAATCGATCCACCTCACGATGAGCATATGAAGCAATATCAAAATCTTCCCTATGAGTCTTAGATACAAAATGGAGAGACGTTTATTATTATTATTATTATTATTATTATTATTATTATTATTATTATTATTATTATTATTATTATAGTTAACATCGTCGTCATCGTCATCATCATCATCACAATCAAACTCAAGTAAACTAGCAATTATTAGTTTATTTTGTCTGCAGTTTATCTAGATGAGTAGTTAGAAAAGCATTATACACAATACAATTTTAATACCATACATATATTTTGAATTAAATATAAAGTTATATACTAGACTCTTCGAAAGCAATACAGTGTAGTATAGTGAAAAGAAAAACTTCCTACATAGTGACTTAGTTTTTTAACATACAGAATCTCTGGATTTTCAGTTTCGAATACAATTTATACTTCTATGATACACCTTTTGTACAAAGAACAGTTCAAAAAATAGTGCTAGACTAACCATAACTGAATTTTTGTATGATTTTACATGTTGATTCAGAATGATAGAACTTAAATTTTTACGTCGTGTATTCTTATAACCAGCTGCTACAATTCACTGATGCATTAGTCATATGAAAACTAGATAATTTTCTTTTTTACATGCCTATTAACTATAAGTCAATATTCTAATTCTATCTTGCATCTAACGTAAGAATAAAGTGATTATTATTGCATGGTTTTAGGTGTGCTATCAAGTATTCCCCGGTTTTCATCAATTGCTCAACAGAAGTCAGTCTGCGACGTTAATTCTTTCCATATTTATAAAACATTTGTCAATTCTGCTCGGTCAGATCGTCAGAAGAAATTGATGTTGTAAATGAAATTATAAATCATTAAAATTTGTAAAGAGATAACCATTGACTGCTCATAATAGTTATTTGAAATGTCGTTTACAATGAACTTTGTTGAACGATTTCTCTATATCTAGTTCTACACTTTTCAACTGAATTTCCTCAAGTTTCACCTTGTAATGTCACCTGAACATGTAAATCAGAAATTAAGGTTTCGACCTCCAGTACTGTTTTGTAGACTGGGAGCAGAAACATCTTCAACAGTAATTAAAGTTGTTTGACTTTATGTGTTTTGTACAAATCATTTACATTTTTCTAATATAATATTGTAGTAAACGCTATATACTAGGATAGTTGTAAGTAGTGTGCATCGGAACGTGGTATCAAAGTCGCAACAATCATCGGATAGAGCAAAGAGTTTCAGTGTATCAAAAGCATGATGTTGGCAAGACACTTGGAGGTCAGTCGAGAAGACAATTCAGACTGTAGAAAACACCGGGAGATGCAAATGGATGATTGAAGGCAATGTATATGACTTATGGAAATACATTGTAACTCCTTATAATAACAACATTCCTCCTGCTTGTTGCAGTGTACTACATTACTAATTATAAATAAATGCAAATAAGGGAATAACAAAAATACAGTAATATTCATTTCATAGATTACATTCTTTCAACTAAACTTACATCAGTTATCGTGGACTTTTGTTTGTCGATAACAGAGATAGGAGTCGGTTTATTGTTTTGCAAAAATTTTGTTGCAATTAAAAGCAAATCATGTTCTAGTTCTCTGTAAGTTAAATAAATATATAAAAGCCATTTTGTATTAGTTACTATTTCATAGAGAAATACACAAAGCAGTAGTAAATTGAAATTGAAAATTTGAAATAGAATTTAAAAATAGTTAACAATTATCATTAGAAAAATCACAATGAATTTGATGGAGTTTTGATCTGTGAGCTGGATGGTTTGGTCGTGGAGCTTTCATCGTCCTTCTGGACGACATCATCAGCACAAACCTCGGGTAGAAGTCCACAATGAATTTATTTATGAACAAATTCTATATTGGATTGAGCATAGTAATTTTGAACATCATTACAAGCAATATTACTAAATTAAGGTCATGAAGTCGACAGAAATGTCAAATGAATTGATTTCACAACTTGTTTTCATCTGTATGCGTTAGGGTTTACTCAATAATTTGTAGAAACTACTGGAACTCGTTATTAGCTAATAATGAATTCTGTTAATTTACTATGAGTTTGCTATTTTAGATTATTTTATTAAGGAGTAGCAAAATATGAATCTGTGTGTTTGTTATTCATCAACTCGTTGAGTATAGTATTTGATATAGTCTCTAATCCAGAAACCGCAGACCAGTTTTTATATGGTTTGAATTTATTTCAACGATCTTGACTTATTTTAAGTCAGTCAGTTACAACGTATAACTTCGTACGTACGTACATCAGTTCCAGTTGCCAAACCAAATTAACACAGAGATGCAGTTGTCGATTCAAATCGCATAGTGGTAGAAGTAGTAAGAGTAAAAGCTGTAATCGGAGAGATTAGGGTTTGAAGATGTTGTTCAGGGATCGTAATCCAGTGAAATAAATTTGAAAAGAGGAAAAAGAAAGAAACATAAAGAATTCGAAGATTAGAATTTGGCAGAACACAAAGAGTGGATGCACCTGAGCCATTGCAAACTATTTTGAGCTATGTCATTCAAGCTCTCTAACCATCGATTGCTATAATCTCGCGGATCCCAACTAGGTAGTCTATACCTACCAACATGGCTCAGTCCACTTATCAGTGAATTGATGGATTTGTGCCACATTTTGGTCTGGCTACCCCTAGCTTTTTTGTTGATGTTAAAGATTGTAGTTGATCGGTCTCTGTCGGCAAAAGTGAATCCTGAAAGGCTTTTATCGATTATGTCATTTACTCACATGTTGAATGGTGATGTAAGTTTCATTTTGCTTAAGACTAGTCAGCTAAATGTTGATGTTCATATCAAGACTTAAATCTAATTTTGAATTTTAACAGACGTTTTGCTGTAGTTTTTGTTTTATTTCATACTTACTTGAAATCATTCAATGCACAATCATATACAATCCAATAACCAACTTGATCTTTCACATGTATTCTACCTTCTTCATGATAATAAAAATCATCATGGTTTTCTATTTCAGCAAATTGCATAAATTCTAATTCTTTAACTCTGTATTAAAAATTATGAAAAATTATATTTTGAAAACATTTATACTATTTATATATATATATAAACGAGTATACATACATTTTTTCTAATTTCGATTACAACTTTTAAATGTAATTTATTAAGTCAATTTCATCCTTAAATATACAGAAATTAATATTTAACGACAATGATGTAATGCTTGGTTCAAATTTACTTTCTACAATGTTACAACTAAATACATTTTGTTACCAAGATGCTAATAATCAATATTACTAGTAATTCATTTCTAAACAAATATTGAATTCACTTAGTATTGTTTGTTTGAATCTTCTCATTGCAACTAGTCAGTCACTTATTAAAATATGTGCATACTGTGCGTATTGCCTCGATATAGTCTTAGTTCACAAGCATTTTAAGCAAAGATGGATAGTGGCTAGCAAGTGGCTATCAAGACTCAGTATCTGAGTGGATAACGTGATAGCGTTTAAAGCGAACGGTACTTGGTTCGAATACCAGAGTGAACATCAACTCTGAGATGCAGGTACATCCAACTGACGAGTCCCAAATAGGACGAAACACTCGTCATAGATTCCATTGCTAACCACTGTTCGTCTTTGCTTATAATAATCAAATATTATTTATCTTATAATTAGTTCAGTATGAAATAAAATAAATCTTCAATGATATTTGCTTAGATGCTATCAACTTCGTGATCACTATCATGAAACATTTTCCAAAGAACCAAAAACATTTTGTGGCTTGTAGACTAATAGTAATTATCGACAATTCACTCGTAAACTGAAGCATGAAACTTTAAAAAATTTGGAATCATTGGATATACTGATCAACTTTCACAGAAGGTAATCATGAATACAATGAACATTGTAGACTGCTATGGTGTAAATTTTACTTCAATCTGCATATGTGCTCTTTAATTTGATTCAAAAATATAGAAAAATGTCTATTGTGATATAGTTAGTCAAGTGTTTTCACATGGACAGGATTTTCTGCGCTAATAAATCAGACGAAATAGTTAATTAAACTTTTTAGGCACTTCAATTAATGATTTGATCCCTAAAATCAAAGTGAATAATTGATGAATATTTTAAACTTAGTAACAGATTTGTTGTAATAAATATATTGTGTTAATTTAAAGGCATAAATTTACTTAAATTCTTCAGGTGTATTGAAAAGATAACCATGAACGTTTAATGAATTTCCACAACGTTGATTATCTTGACCATCTACACCAACTCTATGATTTTGTGGACTTCTGAAAAATGTAAGTAGTTTGTAAAAAGACATTTTTGAAACTAAACAGAATTCTATTATTAAGTAAATAAAATTATAATTAATATGAATATTCATCAACGTTAGGACGAATAGCATGATAACTAACTAAAGTTCTGATATTCTTTAAGAATTAGTTTTATTCATCTTTAAAATGACTTCATAGTAAACAGAATGTATGTAAAGTAATTGTATCATTCATTAACATTTAGTAAAAGCTAACTTTAATTTATATAAAAAGATAGAATAAGGGTGTACACAGAAACTAAAAGTACCATCATAAAGATGTTTACGAATCGATGATCAGTAGTCTATGGTGAATTAATGAAAATGTCATTAATAGATTAATGTCCAAATGATAAATATGATAATATAACTAGGAGTTTTCCTAAAATATTCACTGTAAAATCTAAATTTCATAATTACTTGAAGTTAATCAACGCATACAATCAGTCAGTCATATGCAACATTGAACTGAATGCATATGTAAATCCGTTAAAAATCCTAGACTACTAAAAAGCGTGATAGAATGTTCTGGAGAAATATCAACGTAATAGAAGTACTAGTATCAGCGGTAGTTAACAAAATTAGGCATACAAATAATTTGATTAGAAAGAATTCATAAAATAAATAATATAAATAATTTAAACTCATAGTCTAATGTTAGGTAAAGAATGAATGAAGCTGCATCGTTGTAACCGAATTTGAGCCACGTAACCTAATATCTCTAATTATCTATCACGATCATCACAAAGTGTAATAAATTATTGATCTTTAAAAATGTTTGTTAAATAATAATTCTTTCGGACCTTTGCTTCTTCTAATGTTTAGTTTCACGTAAATGATTAAGAATCATTTAGATTCTTACATGATATATTAATTGTTGAGTCGGCTTCCGGAGAACTCTATCAGAGCCTCCAGAGGCTCATAAAGAGCCCCAACCAATCAGCAATTAATTAGAAGTTGTGCGAAGTTATGTTACTAAAATAACGAGATCCTGATTGGCTGATTAACATACTGCTACTATGTAAACTAAAGGTCTCTTAATTACTATAAAATCCCTGTATTTTCTGTACATGAATGAACCCTGTAGTAAAGTGCTCCCCACACACTTTGTGCCTTTTTTCTGGTCTTCAAGTCGGTGTATAGTTCTAGCTCGGGGGTACGGAACTAGCTTAGGGAAGCGAATATAGCGTTCACAATCGGCCAGACGTAATATTTATCATGAATCCTTTGGATCATAAGTTAATTGAAGCTAGACCACCAGGGAAGACCTGGAAGTACTGGACGACAGTTTCGTCCTATTATGAGACTCCTCAGCAGTGCATATCCACGATTCCGCCTCGCGGGATTCGAACTGAGGATCTACCAGTCTCACGCCAGAGCACCTAACCGACAGACCGCTGAGCCGGCATCCAGCGGTGTTAATGTCTAACCTCAACAGATCCACGAAATTGCGCGACCAACTTCCATTGTACTAAAGTAGATACCTGTCTCTACCTGACATGGATTAGCTTCACTGTTAATGAACAAAACTACTACTATTTTATTGTTTTCTTTTCAGTTAAATAAAAATTAATACATAACTCGATTATCTTTTTTAAATATTAACAAACTTTAATAAAAGTTAAATTATCTATTAGCAAACAACAAATTGTTTGGAAAGCAAAACTGTAATTTCAATCTAATAAGAAGAGTTTTAGATATAACTAGGGTTATGTGAGTACTGTGATATTTGATTTTATAACTCAATAATTATATTTGTTGTATCCTGATGAAAACATAAGTATGGGTTACTCCCAGGACCTATTAATGGACTATTATTTTATATATATTCTTATTGTTTAACTATTGAGTAATTAGATTGTGTATATCTATTTTCATCTTGTTATAAGCTTCATTTTGACCTATGAATTATTATTACACGAATTACTGTACCTAAATTATATTCATTTTATTGATTATTGTATCCCATGTTCACAGCCACATTTGGCTTGATCTCGTACAAATATTATTTTCTATTTTATGGTGTGATGCGGTCTGTTTGTCTGGTATATAAACCGAGTATGTTTGAAATAAATGATTCGCATAGCAGAAGCTGTAATTGCTGTTCTGGACTCGATTGGAAGGGCTAGGCGGACAAGGGAACAATAAGGGCGCTAGACTGCTCATACTGGTCGAAGTCATTGGTTAGCACAGTGCTAGGATTGGAAAAGTCGTATTCCGATGGATGGATAATTCACGTGATGAAAAACCGGACATAAAATCATAACGAATTGGCATACGGCCTTCTCATTTTATAAAGTCACAACAATCTTTGTATCATAAGTGAACTTTATTGTATCTCATTTTGAAGAAGAATATTCTATATCAATTATTCGGTTTTTATATATAATTCATGACTTTATTGCATGTAATCAGTTTCGTGTTAATAAACTAATCTATTTAGGATATTCATATAGAATAGAAACTTAGATACCTGAATACTGAATTCAATGGTGAACTGTGTACTACATCACAACAAATGTTCACTTTTATGGAAACTCTTTTAAAATAAATTTAGGTTTAAATTGAATATTTATTGGTGTTTATTTTTTTAAAAACAAATTGTTTGAAACCTCAATTGTCTTATACAGTATTTATTTCTGAAGAAAAACAAAACTTAACTTACGTGCGTTCTACTCCACCTTTGCTATTCATTGATAAACCTTGATCATTAATTGTTAACGTTCGTTCAATTGATCGAAAATAATTTAAAACAGATATGCACTGGAAAAAGTGAAAAGAAAAAGAAAATTTATTAGAATAAACCAGTTAGCTTATAGATTGAAAAAACAAAAGAAGTAACCAAAAGAAGTAATTACTAAATTCACTTAGTATTGTTTGTTTGAATTTTACCATTAATGTTTTGGACTGCAACTGGTCAGTCTCTTATTGGTATATGTGCATACTGTGCGTATTGCCTCGATAAAGCCTTAATTCACAAGCATTATAAGCAAAGATGGATCTTGGCTAGCAGTGGAATCCAGGACGTGCGTTTCGTGTAGGACTGCAATTGGTCAGCCTCTCATTGGCATATGTGCATACTGTGCGTACTGCCTCGATATAGCCTTAATTCACTTTGATGAAACACAATGAAAATTATCTGTGTTATTAATGTATATATTTATTATTGAAATTCTCCTTACAACAAAGAATTAGAGAAATATATACCTGTAATATGAATAAAAATCTACAATCTAGATCGCTTCATCTCCATTCTATTTTTAATTATGTAAGTTAAATCAGCAATCACAGAAATTTCTAAGTGAATAACGTAAAATGTATTCAAGTTATTGTTTATTTATCAACTCGTGGTTATAAAATACAAAAATAAACAGGATGTAATATTTGTCGTTACTCTGTATTCTCAAAGTGGAATGCATACATGGCCTGTTCTGTGAACATGAGGATTACAGCTGTTAATGTTGGTAGATGTTTGAGAAAACCTATAGGAACTTCATGAGTTGTTTAGAGCTTTTTACAAAAATAAAAAATACCGTAAACATCACAAGTCAACAAAGCTTTTTTGAAGGTCATGAAAATCGCAAGTATTGTATACGGCTATTACAAAAAATATCGAACATGTAAAATATCTTGTGCTTCCCGATCGGTAATCGATCGTCCATTAAATTGACGATAAATCAAATTTTGAAAAATCATATATGTGCACAGTTCTAACAAGACATACATGGGTGAAAAAAACTGTGTCAAACGGAGCACCTAAAAGTGCTGACTTCGGAGAACTCATTGGTATCATTTAAACAATAGTAATAAAAACAAGTTTGTTGCTACAGCTGGGTGTTTTTTGATGGTCGTAAGATTGATTTAACTTGTTCTATGTAAAATAAAGTTTTTACGCCATCACTTTGTGCATTTATGCTTTTGATGCATTTATGATTTGATAACGTTAGAAAGGCTAGTTCTAGATACGATACTGTTTAGACCAATAATTACTGGGAATGATTTTATAATAAGTAGCTGTTACATTTTAACGTAGAATGAAAAACTATGCACTAATTCTTTGTTCTTTAAAGCCTGTTCCCGTTACCAAACAAACTTAAAGTTTGAAAGAAGTAACATATGTCTATAACAACATTAGATTTTTATTACATCAATAAGCTAAAAAAGACAGTGCAGTAAAGAAAACTTCATCTTCAGCCTTCGTGGTTCTGGTTACTTTTATGTCTACGTCACGAGATGAAGCTCTGATATTCAGGTTATAGAGAGTGTGCATAGTGTCTAGGTCACCTGAAAACCAACACGATAATGAAATACTTTCTCACTATATATATATATATATATATATATATATATATATATATATATATATATACAAGAGCTTGTGTACCTTTATTATGGTAAACGTAGTAAGTAAAGGAATATGAAGTATATTTATACTGGATGAATAAACAGTGCAGCTCATTTATCTGTTTATGAGATGCAGATTCTAAAACTAAAAACATTTTCTCTTTCATATCATAATTGTAGAACAATTCAGAAACATTTTAAGGGTAATAAACCATGTCACCCAGTCAAAGATGATAAAATACTATCATCGATAATCGATCATTAATGTCCAGCAATTTACAAAAATAACCATCCAGGTCAGAGAACAAACCAACATCACAATAATAATTTTTCAACGCTAACTAGTTTGAATAGGTTTTGAGCAGATTTATAAATAAAGAGTGATTATCAATCAACCTGACAGTTAGATTAATGTGTATAATTGACCTGTTTCTTATAACTCCCTTCATTTGTCAAAAGGTTAGCAAGTAATATAAGAAAATAAATATAATAACAATTCACTTACTGTGCGCATTAAATCTCTTAATTTCAAGTGTCTTAGATGTAAAAATGACAAAAAAGCACCTTGTCCGCTAATTGAATCATTTGACCCACTCATATCATCATCTAATCCCAAAAGTCGCATAGTTTGGGCAAAATCATAATCATCACTTTTAGATTTCTCACCTTCAATAGATCCGATGGAACTGAAAATTTAATGATTAACAGGATGATCCAGTAATGCAGTAATGTTTTACATGATTACTAAATTGACAATCGACATAAACAGTTATAGATTACTTACAAAGGCCTACACGTTTTAGAAATATTGAAATTATGACATATTTAGATAGAACAGTCTATTTTCGTGAATAGTCAGTACTAGGTACACTAAAAGAGCATCCTGCATTATCCCCTGCAATTAAGTAAATCATGTTTTACAATCGTCATTGCAATGCTAATACAGAATAATTAGATTTCAGTATTCCGCAAATATTTTTCTTCAATAAATAATGAACATTAGATTAAGTGACAGTTACTTGGAACCACCAAAGGTTGAATACCATTCATTGAATAATGATATTAGTGGATATTCTCTTTTAAAGAATTATCTTTCGACTAGAGTTAATGATTGAATCATTTCAATGAAAGTTCTAAAATAACCATTCACATCATGATGAATAGATAAAAATATTTATAACCTAATCTCGTTCTAATTTTATTTAATATAAAAGTAGATTTTACATTGAATAACATTAAGAGATTTTTCAATCGGTCGAAATTTTCAGTATCTTCCAGTTAATCATAACTAGTATTAAATTAACAAATCAAATCGATACATAGGAATTTTTATAGTTGAAATAGTGAGCCAATTGAAGCTAGACCACCATGGACAACCTAGAAGCACTGAACGGCCGTTTCGTCCTATTGTGGGACTCCTCAGCAGTGCACGTACATGACCTCGCCTCGCGAGATTTGAACTCAGGACCTACCAGTCTCGCGCCAGAGAACTTAACGGTGTTAACGTCTAACTTCAACCAATCCACGAAATTTGGGCAACCGTTCACCAATTGTCTTCAGTGAGTTGATATCTCACAACAGACGTGGTTGAACTTCAATAGTCACTGCTTCCCACTAGAACTCCAGGAAATATCTCCTGAATTTATTTTGTTATTTAATATAACTTTGATTTCTTTAAAAAAACATGTTGAAAATATTCATACTTACGTAGATCTCAAAACCTATCTACACTAATGTTAATGTTCCTTACTTAAAACTATGGTATTCAGTTTATATTTTCACAATAATCCAACAACTATCATTTACAAGCTTGTTTCATAATGAGTTCAACATATTCTTCAATATTACTATTTAAAATATTTCTGATAAAAACAAACAAAAATCAATGTTACTGATGTGTTTACTTGTGTAACCTATCACAATTATGAACACAAAATTTGTTTTTAAAATATTCGAATACATTATTTTTGTATTTTTATATTATTAAACTGTTTCTGTGACACTTTTGGCGACAAGGATGTAGAATAACTGTGTTTTCTTGTTTTATTAGCATAAAAGCTATACGTCTTGGACTTAAACGCCCAGAAACTGATTTACTAACTGCTACTTAACCCCTAAAATCTTTTATTCAACTTACATTGGAAAACAAAATGTAGGAAATATGAGAAAGATTCTATTTCATAGGTAAAGTCGTGCACAGAAAACAAGGGTACTTATAGTATCACGTGTGACGTTGGGTTTCTAGCAGCACTTGGAAACATGACAAGTTCAGTAACAAAATTGATATTTGTTCAGTTGAATAATAAAATTATGACCCGTTGTTTTCTGAGATTTGCTTGGAAATTTTTATGTAATGATGACGGGTTACAATATTCTCTGTAATCTTGCGGCTTCTGAAGGATTTTTCAATAAATTACCGAAACCTTCCAGCAGTAAGATAAACAACCGCCTTTCCAAAAGGTTTATTTAGAAGTAATTACCCTGACTACCTCTTTTTATTCTCGAAAAACTGCCTTATTTAACTATTACTCATTTTGTATTAACTCACAACCTTCGCCTGATATATTACCAATAATTTCTAAATTTTATTCTTTGTATGATAAATTACTATTCATATAGCTAATGTTTTATGTAAATTTACAATCTTAAAAGATTCCACAATGCTCAGGTTTTATTCGAATATATAAACCTATAGAAGAAATGTTTAGATAGGTAAAAAAGAATGGTTTCACATCTAATAAACATTTTCGCATTGTCAAGCTTTGAATTAATTGACATACTGGTTTTCAGTGAACTATCCGAAGTATCTTGCGTAGACAACTGTTAATAAACACTTGTATCTCCTGGATGATGGCTTTCATAGTTCTCCACGTCTCCGCCCCATACAGTAGAACTGTCTTCACATTTGTATTGAAAATTCTGATCTTGCTGTTGATTGACAATTGTTTTGAACATCTGGAACTCAAAACAATTGTCAATCAACACCAAGATCAGAATTTTCAATACAAATGTGAAGACAGTTCTACTGTATGGGGCGGAGACGTGGAGAACTATGAAAGCCATCATCCAGGAGATACAAGTGTTTATTAACAGTTGTCTACGCAAGATACTTCGGATCCGTTGGCCAGACACAATCAGCAACAAGTTACTATGGGAGATATTAAACCAGATTCCAGCGGAGGAAGAAATTAGGAAGAAGCGGTGGAAGTGGATTTAGCTCACCTTGAGGAAAGCACTCAACTGCGTCACAAGACAAGGCCTCACATGGAATCCTGAAGGCAAAAGAAGAGGAAGACCAAAGAACACATTACACCGAGAAATGGAAACAGACATGAGGAGAATGAACAAAAGCTGGATAGAACTAGAAAAGGAAGCTCAGGACAGAGTGGGTTGGACAATGCTGGTCGGTGACCTATGCTCCATTGGGAGTAACAGGCGTAAGTAAGTATTATTCCAAAAACACATACCTTCATATTTAGGTACTTTGCTCAAAGAATTTATTGATGAAAATGTATGATATTTGAGACTCAATCTAAACATAGGCCTTAAGTCTGAATAATCTTAATATTGTTATTAAATGATCTTAACTTACTTCGAGTATAGCTCGGGATTTGTATAAATCTTCTTAAATATTTCAACAGTATTTTGACCATCTTTATGAGATACAACTGAAGCTGTTTGTATTTTTGGTGGATGTTGGATAACCATTACATGATGACGCAACGCATCTTGCACACGCTAGGTAAACAAAGAAAATAAATAGTTAAATACTTAAAATATACCAGGTGAAGAAATGAAAAGTATTTGATTAATTATGAGTATTACATTAGTTTATTTCAAACTGTAACCTAATGTTCGAAGCATTTTATCACAAGTAATTTGAAAGAGTATTCAAAATCATATTAACTAATTTGGCTTATACAATCGGAAAATTAGCTGCTATTCAACAAACGAAGCGTGACTTATTGACTATGCAATATACATGTATACATATCATCAAATCGCGTAATATAAGTGATACTTACGAACAATGTGAGATTTGGAACATTTATGTATTGGTACACATAGCAAAACTTAACACCTGCAAATGAGATAACTAACATAGCAAAAGGTTGATTGATCAAAACAACTGCGTTACTAGTCAAACAAAAATAAGAAAAAAAAGAGTAATATTTAGAATAAACGAATGTAACAAGAAAAAAACTACGCATGAGTACTGTTCATAAGTCTTAAAAACGAACAAAATAATCATTTGCTCAACCGCGACCTATTTCGTCATGTTATCTAAGAGCTGCATACCCTGATCAAGCAATTTCATCTAATTCATTGCTTATTTGATACACTTTGTTTAGTATTTTAATGTTTTAAGCCGTTTTTTCAAATATCGTTATTAAAAATTCAAACTAAAAAAAAAGATTTTGATGAGTTGTTCAGGTTCGCAAGATTTTGGATTTCTCCGAATAATATTAAGCCCTCACTGTCCAAATGTTGACTCCCTTCAGTTTTTGCTCACTCGTCACCGTAGCAGAATCGACAACTATATCTAACTATTCAGTCATTTTCAAATCCATTGAGCTGACAGATACAAACAATTTACGTATCCATAATTGAGAAGATGCGTAAAATTCTTCATGCTAAAGTAAATTATTTATCTAAATTGTAGTCCAGTTTATGTACAACTTACTTCTGATGATCTAAAATGTAAAAGTTTTGAGGCTGCCAACAGGAGTTCATCTATCCTTGTATTGCATCTTAGTCCCATCATAGTTTTTACTACACATTCGTCTCGTTTCGGTTTCAATTTTATAAACTCCAACCAATTACTAGGTTTTTTCATAGCATGTAGCCATATATCCAATCCCCAACGCTCACTAATAGCCTATAAATAATAATTACAGTCAATAAAAACCAAGTAAATAAGTCTTAATTTTTCAATATTTTGAGGCATATATTTTTTTAAACAATGAAAACAACCTTTATAAAAACTTTTAATAAATTATTACTGCGTAGTTGTAACAGTCTCATTAAATGAATGCTAGACTGGAACTCACAGACATAAAATCTTATAGACGAATGATAGAGATTGAGTTTTCATGCTTATTTTAATAGGGAGCATGCATACAAGTATATACCTGAATATATACCAGTAGTTTTAATGGCATTTCTGTTGTGTTTAGATCAGTTTCAAATGGTTGATTCCATTTTCACTGTACTTTATGAACATGACTCTTTGTATAATCTGTCCTTTGCAATTTGTAGTTGGATTTTCTACCCGAGCATACAATATCTTATGAGATGTTGTAGGTTTGCTCAAGATTCCAAAATTCTGTGAAGCTTTTGATCAGTCGAAAAGAATAGTTGCATCCTTTTCATTTTATTTTGACAACATGGAAAGTTTTCCATTTATACACGACTAAAATATGAACATTTATCAAAAATGCTATTGCATTGGGGATGCAAACTTAATCATGTGGAAAACCTACAACTTAATGTTCATGGTAAAATTTTTGCCCATCTTTTTCATGATATGTCACGTAAATGCATCATATTCTGTAAACAAAATATAATTCATATCCATTCAGTTAAGTATTTCAATCAGAAACTTTAATTTTAGTCCATTTGACCTGAATACAACTAAAACCCTTGAAAAATCACCAGTCTTATCCTCAGTGATGACATTTGAGTTTAAGATGTACTGTTACTCGTATAAAACATTAAAGTAATTTAAAAGTTAGGTTTTTCAGTTTTATGCTTCAAATGAAGACATTTATAAAATATCTTATTATATAATAGGGCATAAATTACTAAAATACTGAATTATTACTTTTGTATGGTCATATGTCCGAAAATCGTACATTTCTTCTTGACGATTGAAAATATATTGAAATTTGCGATTGATTACGGCAAATAATTCCATTTCATCTGCTGTTGAGCGTACTGAATCAATATCCTTAGTAAAAAACAAGCGATAAATAAACTTTTAGAGTATATCAAACATTAACACAACTGCCCAAACTCCATTTACCGAATTCTGACATCGCAGAATGTATAAAAAGGAGAAGCGTGAATAAAAAGTGTTCATTGACGACGTTCTTAACCAGCTATAAAAAAATTTTCATAGTTGAAATCATGAGTCAATTGAAGCTAGACCACGATGGAAAACTTGGAAGCACTGGACGGGATCGTGGATGTGCACTGCTGAGGAGTCCCACAATATGACGAAACGGCCGTCCAGTGCTTTCAGCTTTTCCATGGTGGACTCATGATTTCAACTATGCAAATACTGAAATCTACACAGAAGCCCCTTCTGATAAAATCATTTTCAGTATATAATTAAAGTATAACAGAATCAGTGGTTGCACTATGATCTTATATTACCTGATGCTCTAACTGTTCTACCGTTTTATAAAACTAACATACTGATTAAAAACAAAGATAACTCAGTTCAGGAAATAAGAATATAAAAGATGTACAACAGTCTATTGAATACACTGTGTAGGGACATTTCATTATTATGAATCCATTTAAATATTCTTAATGTGAAGAAAACTGAACTGAGTACTCTGATGATGAGAAACATAATGTTACACTACTTAAATATACTATTTAAATTTACTAAATACCGTTACCTCGTGTCCATTTATAAAGTAATTTTTGGTCATGATGAATGATAATTTATAGCAGAGTATTAACTTCAATACTCAAATTGATATAGAATCATTAAAAGATTAAAGAATAAATAAAACAAGTCAGTAGAAATTTCGAACAACGAGGATGTATAAATGAACATGAGTCTAGATGAAAATTCACGATTTAAGTCTGGTTTTTTGTTTCTAATTTTGTGAAATTTGAAGTCACTGTCATTTTTTATATTGAATGATTTTTAACTGCACCTAACACTTAAGATTGGTCAGAGTTGCCCATCAGTTTTCTAAATATCTCTGAACATATTTAATACAACAATTTAAATTATTTGGAATTACTTGTATGCAATGTTAGGTAACCGGGAGTTGGTTTCTTCGACCATAGCATTGAATAAAATTAACTAAATTATCATGCAAAATGTATTCCTCGTTTCAGCCTACAAATGAAATTCAAATTTTACGCAACGTTATTGTGTTTTTATGAAGGTTCAAGTTTTATGGAGTCACTTAAACTGGTGGTCATTTTCCAAAGTATTTCATAACATTCGATTTCCACTTCGTACAAGACAAACATAAGATTGGTCAAAACTTAGTGTTCTATCAATGTACATCAAAAAACTTTCCCGTCAAAAAGTCGGAGTGTTTATTTAACAGAAACCTCTCAACCTTTTTTTCTAACAGCTATAAAAGCTTCACAGATTATTACTAGCAAATACACAAAACCTTATTCTGTTCAAATTCAACGTCACTGTATAAACACAAAAATTCTCAAGACCATGAAATAATTGACTACTCCGGTTTCTATGAATCCTAACGACCCGAAAAAAACAAATATCAAAAAACAGGAGAAGCATTTAAAGTTAGCAAGTTTTTAAAGCCAACAGAAGATTCACGACTTCTGGTGAGGCATAATTTTTAAAATTAGGAAAAAGATAAAAGTTTGGTAAATCTGAATTTTAGCGGGAGCTAACTGCTATCTTGTAAACACTTCTTCAAATTGTTAGAATTAATTTGTAATGAATTTCTGAATTGATGTTATAATTTGTTTTGAACACGAATCTGTAAAACGTAAAGTTTTTATACACTATTATATACAAATACTTTAAAATTACGAAGGCAAATTATCTATATTAAAATTTTCGAATCATGTTTTACAAACCTACATGTGCCCTAATAGATTACTCACCATTTGAATATTATATGTCTGACACAGTAATATCAGATGTGGTCGCAATGTTTCGAGATCACTTGAATAGAGTGGTAGAACAGACACTTTTTCATTTGTTACATCACTTGTCACTGCCAACAATAAACGGCCGCTCTTCATTAACAACCGGTCATTCGGACTCATAATTATTGAGTGTTCCATTCTTGATGGTTGACGTGCTTGGTCAGAAAAGCAAAGGTGACGTGGTGATCTTTCAGAAACACCCTCGTTCTGTGCAATGCACACTTTTTCTTCGTTAGGTCGAAAACTGACTGATTTTCCTCTTATATTTTCATTTCCATTCTCTTTTGATGTGTTAGTATTGACTTTACCGGTTATTTCTTGTTTCTTATTGTATGCAGATGACTTTTCAGGTAGTTCACTTGTTCTGTTTATATTTACTTCATCTTTATCTTTTGGTACAGTGGGAGACATAATGTCATCCTCATCATTAGATATTGTACGTAAATCATTTCGTTTGCTCCTATCGTCACTGAAATTTTCGTAAGGAATCTCAGTTTTGTCAATCGGAGTGGATCTAGTCAACATTTTATGTTCTTGTGAAACTTGTTTATCAAACAAATGATCTTTCTTTGCGGCATCCGTGTTTTCTTTCTGAATAAAACGTGTAAAATATTTTTTAATCTGTTGGGCTTGATGGAAATTCCATTTTTTGAAGTTATTAAAGTATAAACAAACTAAACCATAATAATTGATAGCATACTAAATGCAGATTTCAATACGAACAAATAATCTCACCAACTACTTTTTTCATCTTGCTCAGTTTAGTTCACACATAATAAGGAACAATTAGCAAACAACTGATGTTTATACCTATTCTGATTATTAAATCTCACAATCTTAGCTGGTGTTTAAGCTGAATCAAGTAAGTATTTCGTACCAGTCGATTCAACAATGTTGAGTCATTTTGCGATCTTTTACTAATAAATTATGAATTCGAAAGATATATTTCCCTTAGACTTGGCTATTAATTTGAACCATTAACTTGGGATTCGACCAATCATTAAGAATAACGTACTTTACTTATATCTCTTCATTTTTTAAGACGGTAACTGAATACTTATGAATTCGATTTTGATACTTAATATCATCTATAAACCCTGCCAAAATATATTAGTTGTGTATTTTTATTGAAATTATACACTGCCATAACTAAAACACGTTCAGAATAGAAAACCTAGTGACAGAGTAAGTGACAAAATAAATATCCTAGAAGGATCTCATCAGTTTCATTATTGTTGAATAGTTAGTACAAACACGAGTTGACTGCTTTGGGTTTTAGCTGCCTGTCTAGATGTTTTACATGGTAACACATTGACTGTTCCAACTGTTATTTGTTTGCATTAGATTATTTTTTATGACTTTTAATTAGAATACTTCTTCTGGAAAAAGCCATGCAACCTCTTCAGATAAGTTCATCTATAACCCACAGAACAGCAGTCATAATACACCAACTTAATCCGCGAAATTGTAATAAACGCTCTGTTTTACACTGCCAAGTAGATTGATTTGTGACATATATTAAAATGTTTCATATCCTTCTATTTCGAATCCTGTCATATTTATACTTTAGAATATTTAGTGGCAATTCTTTTTGATCACAGATTTATTAAAAACTTAGTTTCCTGTGACAGTAATAAAACGTTAATCAGCCCACGAGATTCAAAAACTCTTCTAAATAAAACACTATCTTTATCAAACCACTTTCAAACTAGTATGGTTGCAAACGTGTCCATGGGATTCAGTCTGTAGACTATGCACAACGACTTTTATTCCATCTGTCTTTCTCCTCATTGACACAATCAGACTGTAAATGCAATGAGCAATCCGCATCTCTTCTTCCTATACTGTCTAACAGAACTGTTTCCAGCTTTCCAGTTCACCCAAGTAATGCTCAACGTGTAGAAATGGCATTCCGAAACGCTGTTTGACTCGCCTAACTTAATTATACTATGTACTTAGTTATAGTCCACTTTACTAACAATTAAGTCGAATAGACTCGACTTCACCAATTGTCACAGTACTTTGATTTGCTTATAACGCAGAAGTCATACTCGCTGTTATTCAATACAACTAAGTGAGGTACATTGCTACAAAGCAAACCTAACATCTAAGTAGGAATTAATGCCTAACCTTTAAAACTCATGAGTTATGATAATCTGTTTGATAACATTTGTGAGAAGGAGTTTATTCTTCCTGACAGTCTACAATGCAGGAAATGTGAATAATCTTGAAGAACTTTGTCGGTAGTTAGTCCCTAAATGCTTGACTGCAAAATCCAATCAACACAATAAGACTTTTCAAATCGATTGCTTTTTTTATTAAAGAGTACCACGATTTTCACAATAATTTCTGTCTCATTATATTTTGAATAGCACCACTAGTAGTGTCTAGATTGGATCACTAAATTGTAAAAACACCTTAATTTTGCTTCAGATGATCAATTACTTGGAAAAGAAAACAGATTGGTCACTAGACTTGACAATGGTCTAAATCTTCATGACCTCAGAACAGTTGCCATTATTTCACCCGGAAAATATCAACGAACACCTGGAATCTTAACGGTGGTTTGATTTGGTAAATATGATAGAATAGGGTCACGTAATAGAATCCTAGACTTTAAGACGGTGTAGGGTCGGTGAAATGCCACTGAATATCGAACAGATCATCGATCCCTGTCAAGGTCAAGGATAGTCAACGCGCATCAATAAAATATATGCCATGAACTGGCCCACGCGGCAGTGATTGTTCTTTCACTTCTGTACTTTAGTGGTCGTACCTTATCTAATATATTCTTGTAATAACGTCCTTTGTGTTGTACAGTCTCCATAGCGTACATGATCCTCTGATGCGTCGATGGTTCAAACCACGTAAGGACCGGTCGCGAGGTGTGACTTCAGCGTTAGTTGGTTCGTCACCATTCTCGTCTAACTATAGTAGGCTCCATATCACTTCGACATAGAACATCAACGTTGATGTTCTACAACGGTTTCTGATTCACCTAAAGATAACAGTTTGGGGAATCTTAACAACCTTTCATTATCACAAAATAACCAATGAGCATAAGTGGAAGTTCTTCACAAGTTCCGGACGAATGTTTGACGGAAAACATTAAATTGTATCGACGCTCTGCTTTGGGAATCAACCACATAACACCATTGAGAATAATAAATAAGTAAATAAGTAACTAATTATCTCTGCTTACGTTCAAACTTTCTTTTAGTTTGTCTCTGTAGTGGTACGGAAACCATTTGACCATCTAAAGGTGAGATAAGTTTTAAATAATGATTGTTACGTTTAAGATCTGGTTAACATAGGAAAGTGACCGTAAGTGATAGATCATGTGTCGTAAGTAGACCTGGTAATCGTCTACCGTTACATCCTCAATATCACAATCTGAACCGGCCAACAACCCCTCTGTAGTCGAGGCGAGCCTGCGTGCCCTAGAACTGGCATCTAGATATTCGTTTGTAAGTTGTCTACAGGAATTCAAAACGTTTAATGATAACTTAATGTACTTACTGTAATTTATTAAGGTACTCTGAGCATATGGATTCAGTTGCTGAAGTTGAGAAACAATAGCGCTTCCACCTCAAAAGATGATAGTGCTTAAGAATCACCATTTGGTGCATCCTGTCTATAAAAAACTGCAACAGTCAAGCATATAAGAAATATACTTGATGCAGAAGAATGGGTATTGATTTCTCCGTATACTCACGCCTTGACGAGGCATCTAATTCCTCAACCATGAGGTCCGCCTGAAGAAAAATAGACTGAGGCTCAAGAACCTGCATAGTCTTGTGTAAAGCACATTTTCGTTCACGACTAAAGTGTTCCGGGTCCTTTGGTACATAAACTGAACTTTAGCAATGGTAACTTGGGTGGTCAAATTGACAAACCCCATTCCTTTGGACGGAATTCCGTGAACCAATTCGTTTTCCTCAATCTGAGCTTTTAAATCTAATATGTCACCTCTTAAGCCATCTTCTTGCTCTTTAATAACCTCCTCATCCATATTGTCGAAATTATAATGTGCGCGTTTACTAACTGAGACCTAGATACCGCAGGAAAAAACAAATGGTATGATATGGTGAAGCTAAACTCCGGGTTTTCAAGTCATCTAAGTGTATCGTAGTCAGTGATTGCGGTTAAGTTTCCAGGTAATTCAGACACCCTATATTAGATATTTTCGAACAACTTTTATCGGAGGTATTACTTTTTCTATGTTGTGATTTTTTATCATGATGATTGGGGTGCGTTACAATTGACGTGTCCACAGCATGATTGAGCCGTATTTCAGTCGTAGAACACTGCGTTTTTCACGTTAGGTAGCGAAAATGAAAAGGAACGAAATACGCTACTCATCATGGATTACAACTGTGTAAACAATAATTCCAATTCATTTTGGCTGGTTACCAAGTACAAGGCCAAAATTGCGATCGAGGTGGAAGCTTATTCTTAATCCGATGTTAATTATTTATTACCTCAGACTTTAGTTCACGGTAAATAACCATGTTTGGTTTTTTATCTAGAGCTTATCTCCATAAAACATAAACTTTTGAATATTCATTTGCTATTTGAAGTGCTTTTAACAGGACCACTTGAAAACGGTTCAAATTAGATAAATTGAATAAAGTTTGTTCCAGAGCCATTTTTGATTACTCAGGTGACTAGCAGCATAGATGGGGGTGTTGAAGAAGGGATTAAATGAGGTTGGCCACTTAACGAGATTGTCGAATATTATTGGGATCACGGACCGACTCAGGTTAGACAACCAATAAAAACCAGGGACCATCGCACAGCCGTTTCGTCCCAGTCTACACTTCTCAACATTACTCATTTATGACCGCAGTGACCGAACTTGGAACTTTTAGGTCGAATTGCGAGCGCTTACTCTTTATACCTCAGTGTTGACATACGGTAGTTTACATGTTTGATTGTGGTCTGGTTGCGATATTGTTTTACCGTCTTGTGTCATCGGTGAGGAATCGTTTCACACATGGCACTACTAAACTTCACTGGCTAGTGCATCTTAGTGGGACTCCGGAGATTTCCTTACGAAGCTAGTCACCGGTGAGAACATGATGAATACCACTGCATAAATATTAATATATCGGCCGAAGAGCGTCAGTCTACAACTCCCAGGGGTAAACAACTCCCCGAATAAATAGCTCTGTGACCACTCAAGATTTACACCAACTGTGTTGGTTTTAACGAAAACTACCAAACTTGGTGTATTCCGCAAAACGTCGCGTCCATGTTTCACCATAGAACCCATGGGATACTCTTCACCTAGACAGCCAGCTTAACGTCCCTGCAGAATAACGGCATAATATAGAAAATGGGGCATAACATATTACCCGGTTGTTTGTCTTGTATCCCTTCGTAACACTTCATTCCTCCGATCCTCAGTTTAACTGAAAGTTGCCTAGCAAAGGTAAATATAATGCAAGCGCTTCCGTTTGGGTCTCATCAGCTACTTTACTATAAGTCTGCTCTTCCATTATAAACGGTTACTGTTAACAAAACATTATCTGACGTCCTTTATAGAATCACTGTATATGAGATGACTGTTATAGTGGACCCTAGAATAACGACAACAGTGAATGTCATGGAAATGTTACGGTCGGAATTTTCATTTGAAAATCGATGAAATGCTGAAAACAGATAAAAACCTTGCCTACTTTCACATGAAGTATATCTTAGCTTCTTATAACACAACAAAATACATTTCTACTACAAAACGGTGATTGTGCCAGACAACATGAATGAGACCCACACAAATTTCGAAATTTGGGAGAATATTAGGCTATGAGAAGCCATGCAATACATTTGGTTATTATGAAAAGGGATTTGCAATTGAAGGCTGATTACCAGTAAATAAAATGCTTATTTTAATACCTCAAAGGTTGCTGAGGTCATGCGAGTAATTATGAACAAAATTACGTATCTTAAAATAACAATATGTTTTATGAAGTATGCTTGTTTACAGCCAAGATCAAGTTGTAGCAAACGTTACATGAGTAACTTTAACAATTTAACAAGTGAGAATTGTGTTATAGGACACATCAGTCGCTCAAACAGACTGACAAATTCTCGTACTCAAAAATGTGAATGAAGTTAATGGAGCTCGGATGTCCAACACAAATGCTGGCGCGCTTCATGGGGGCTGCGTTGCGATGAGCAAGTAATTCCAGAGTATTTTGTAACGAAACGGAATGGGGTAAATGCATAGTTGATCATTTGATACCGTCAGCTTTCGCGTACTATTTTGTGCTTCCTGACAGTGTTCCCTGATGAAATAGTTAAAAGGCTTCTGGGAAACACAGCTATAAGTCCTTCTGAAATATTGATTGTAATAATGGGAGCATGGGACGAAGTCATACATTCTACACATATGTGTTCAGTGTTACATCGCGAGAGTGCTGAAGAAGAGAGAAAAGCAGAAGGGTGGCACCAGAAAAGACAATGTCCATGACGAGTGGGGTTGAGTCATTAAAGATGAAATAATTAATAATAATAATAATAATAATTTATTCTCAAATAAATTTGTTACATAAGGCTTGCCGGTTTACAGGCAAGATCAAATTCTTAAAGAAGTCACAATTTTCACTGTTGAGAATTGCTCAGATGAGTTGATATTTCATAAGATATGAATGTAAATGGATTCCGTAAGAAACATGTCAATATCACACTCGGCGCACTTTATGGAGGTAGCGTTGCAACATACAACTGATGGTCGAGAATAGATACATGCGAAGTTGGGGGCTTTTAGAAGTTTCGAACTTATATCCCTCCAGAATATCGGAAGCTTTAATAACGGTGTAGGACGAAGTCACCCGTGCCATATCTGTTTTCGGTGGATTATCTGCAGGAGGCTGAAAAATGTGTAAGAAAAAGGAAGAACGAAAAGCAGAGCACACAATATTCATGGAGGAATAGTTAAGGTATAACCATTTAGTCTATTTGTCTGTTACGGAAGTATTTATTAGGTAAGAACATACTAATGTGTTAAAGAAAAATAAGTGTGGGCAAGGTATGAGTGGATAAGGAACTGTATAAATGAAGGTAGTTTAGAAGGAAGTATGGAATTGTGTAATTATAAAATGAAGTGCTGAAAACAGTATCCCGATACAAATGGCTGTCTCTCTTTACTTTAGAAGCTGTTTGAACTCTCTTTTTTTGTTTTCAGATTTTATAGGGTACAGAGTGGGCTTCGTTTTCAGCAAATTGTCTAGTTTGCTTGCATTAGCATTACTTGGTAGGAAGTAGAACCAATTCAGCTTTTTTAACATGATTCAAAGTGGTATTTTGCATGAATAATTTCGCATCAATACCGTTGGTTCGTGACATTCCACTAGACATAAGGAGCCGTAATTAATATGTTCTGCCTCACAGACACGGGTGGATTGAATTTAACTCCCCACCATCATGTTTGCTGGTCAGTAACGCCACCCTCCCTCCTTTTATGATGTTAGGCTCTCTTTCGTTTGTGGTCAGTGTGAATATTGCTTTAATCAAGGACCATAGTTGGAATATACTGTCTCTACAAGTTCCATGTTACAAGCAAATCAGATGGTAATAGCACTTGTATTATGGGTTAGATATCCATTTAATATATCGTACTACTATGAAGATAACTAATGGTAAAGGTTAGAAGAGACAAGTCAGATTATATGTGGTTAAAAGATGATAAGGGCTAATAGCAAACCAGAGGATATGAAAGAAAATATTGTAAAATTTTCAGGATAAGAAAAATGAAACATTGAATTAAGGTATGACCACTCATATTTACTTCTTTTATTAGATCAATTTTTCCGCATATTTATTTCGGTATTTTGAAGGAAACAAACCAAAGTATGGCGACAAATGAATAAATGACCGTATAAATCGAGTCGGTCCAAAAGAGACGGAATTTTAATACTATATATATCTCCAACAACACTGTTTGGATACACAAATGACATTTGTCATTCGAATTATTACTACTCCTTTTCTTTTAACCTTTTTGGAGCCACGCGTGGACTCCTAGCTAGCATGATTGTCCAGTTTGGTTTGTGATAAAACTTTTTGGTAGGAAGTGAAACCCACTCAGAGTTACAAAAGTGAACCAAAGATTTGGATCACATGGGAAATGTACATCGGTACGACTGATTGGTCGCATCTTGCTAGACTATTTTGAGCTTTGACACAACAAATCGTTCCTCCCCCTACAGATATATGTACCAATAATAAACAGTGGCATAATTGTCCAGGTTTTACAAATGATTTGCCTCCAGCCATTCTGTTGTCAGTTACCTGTATACCTTCAGGAGACCGTGGATGACGGCCAAGGTAATAGGTCATTAGGAAACATGTGTCTCTCAAATCCGTCACGTTATTTTTTCTGTTTTTGGTGCCGAGTATTCCTGCTTTCAGAAAATTTGTTCCTTCATTAGTACCGTTATGTACCAGTGCTAGTTGCACAAATGAACTTAAACTGCACTTTGCGAAGTTCATCATGCTTTCTGTGCTAGTTAAAACATAGGTCAGCTTAACACAAAGGCCCGTGATTCTGCCAATATATCAATAACGATGCATGTTATAACCTTACAGATAAATGTGTCTATCGTCTCAAATATATCGGTGAATGACCCGGATAATCGACATAGTCTAAGGTAACTAAATGTGTTGAAGATGTTTATCGCTCATTAGGGATTTGTTCAGTTCGCTAATTAGGTGTCGATATTTGTTTCTTTGGTACCTTATGCAAGAGTATACTCTCCTTCTTACATCAGCGGAAAATGTAATCTTCTGACAACAATACAAGTGCTGATCATATTTGAACAATATCAACGTTGTGACAAACTAATAGGTCAATATGACATGTCAACATCACTAGATGAAAGAAACTACAGAAGTGTCCAACTGGTGAGAACCCGAGGACTGTGAAACTTCACAACCCTCGAAATTTATAGAACAGTAGATCTGATAGCAAAAGTTAGATGACAAAAGTTCGTAACAGAGATTGCTTGTGTATAATTTAGAAATTAGAGCGCCTCAGTGTGTCTGTCTCAATGTTTAATTTTCAGTCACCCTCTGCCAAGTCCTGTAATTCAAAAGAAAGAAACACCCAAAAACCTTTTGACAATAACGTAGCAAACACTTAAACTGATTCAGAAAAGACTCATTAGGGGTACAATAGCGAAGAACTTAAGTATGAATAGAGGCAATGCACCTAAATGACACTTTTTCAACTGTTACAAACACCCGATAAAACTCAATTGCAACAATAGCGAAAGTATTCGCATCAGTGCACAATGCATTTACCCCATTCCGTTTCGTTACAAAATACTCTGGAATTACTTGCTCATCGCAACGCAGCCCCCATGAAGCGCGCCAGCATTTGTGTTGGACATCCGAGCTCCATTAACTTCATTCACATTTTTGAGTACGAGAATTTGTCAGTCTGTTTGAGCGACTGATGTGTCCTATAACACAATTCTCACTTGTTAAATTGTTAAAGTTACTCATGTAACGTTTGCTACAACTTGATCTTGGCTGTAAACAAGCATACTTCATAAAACATATTGTTATTTTAAGATACGTAATTTTGTTCATAATTACTCGCATGACCTCAGCAACCTTTGAGGTATTAAAATAAGCATTTTATTTACTGGTAATCAGCCTTCAATTGCAAATCCCTTTTCATAATAACCAAATGTATTGCATGGCTTCTCATAGCCTAATATTCTCCCAAATTTCGAAATTTGTGTGGGTCTCATTCATGTTGTCTGGCACAATCACCGTTTTGTAGTAGAAATGTATTTTGTTGTGTTATAAGAAGCTAAGATATACTTCATGTGAAAGTAGGCAAGGTTTTTATCTGTTTTCAGCATTTCATCGATTTTCAAATGAAAATTCCGACCGTAACATTTCCATGACATTCACTGTTGTCGTTATTCTAGGGTCCACTATAACAGTCATCTCATATACAGTGATTCTATAAAGGACGTCAGATAATGTTTTGTTAACAGTAACCGTTTATAATGGAAGAGCAGACTTATAGTAAAGTAGCTGATGAGACCCAAACGGAAGCGCTTGCATTATATTTACCTTTGCTAGGCAACTTTCAGTTAAACTGAGGATCGGAGGAATGAAGTGTTACGAAGGGATACAAGACAAACAACCGGGTAATATGTTATGCCCTATTTTCTATATTATGCCGTTATTCTGCAGGGACGTTAAGCTGGCTGTCTAGGTGAAGAGTATCCCATGGGTTCTATGGTGAAACATGGACGCGACGTTTTGCGGAATACACCAAGTTTGGTAGTTTTCGTTAAAACCAACACAGTTGGTGTAAATCTTGAGTGGTCACAGAGCTATTTATTCGGGGAGTTGTTTACCCCTGGGAGTTGTAGACTGACGCTCTTCGGCCGATATATTAATATTTATGCAGTGGTATTCATCATGTTCTCACCGGTGACTAGCTTCGTAAGGAAATCTCCGGAGTCCCACTAAGATGCACTAGCCAGTGAAGTTTAGTAGTGCCATGTGTGAAACGATTCCTCACCGATGACACAAGACGGTAAAACAATATCGCAACCAGACCACAATCAAACATGTAAACTACCGTATGTCAACACTGAGGTATAAAGAGTAAGCGCTCGCAATTCGACCTAAAAGTTCCAAGTTCGGTCACTGCGGTCATAAATGAGTAATGTTGAGAAGTGTAGACTGGGACGAAACGGCTGTGCGATGGTCCCTGGTTTTTATTGGTTGTCTAACCTGAGTCGGTCCGTGATCCCAATAATATTCGACAATCTCGTTAAGTGGCCAACCTCATTTAATCCCTTCTTCAACACCCCCATCTATGCTGCTAGTCACCTGAGTAATCAAAAATGGCTCTGGAACAAACTTTATTCAATTTATCTAATTTGAACCGTTTTCAAGTGGTCCTGTTAAAAGCACTTCAAATAGCAAATGAATATTCAAAAGTTTATGTTTTATGGAGATAAGCTCTAGATAAAAAACCAAACATGGTTATTTACCGTGAACTAAAGTCTGAGGTAATAAATAATTAACATCGGATTAAGAATAAGCTTCCACCTCGATCGCAATTTTGGCCTTGTACTTGGTAACCAGCCAAAATGAATTGGAATTATTGTTTACACAGTTGTAATCCATGATGAGTAGCGTATTTCGTTCCTTTTCATTTTCGCTACCTAACGTGAAAAACGCAGTGTTCTACGACTGAAATACGGCTCAATCATGCTGTGGACACGTCAATTGTAACGCACCCCAATCATCATGATAAAAAATCACAACATAGAAAAAGTAATACCTCCGATAAAAGTTGTTCGAAAATATCTAATATAGGGTGTCTGAATTACCTGGAAACTTAACCGCAATCACTGACTACGATACACTTAGATGACTTGAAAACCCGGAGTTTAGCTTCACCATATCATACCATTTGTTTTTTCCTGCGGTATCTAGGTCTCAGTTAGTAAACGCGCACATTATAATTTCGACAATATGGATGAGGAGGTTATTAAAGAGCAAGAAGATGGCTTAAGAGGTGACATATTAGATTTAAAAGCTCAGATTGAGGAAAACGAATTGGTTCACGGAATTCCGTCCAAAGGAATGGGGTTTGTCAATTTGACCACCCAAGTTACCATTGCTAAAGTTCAGTTTATGTACCAAAGGACCCGGAACACTTTAGTCGTGAACGAAAATGTGCTTTACACAAGACTATGCAGGTTCTTGAGCCTCAGTCTATTTTTCTTCAGGCGGACCTCATGGTTGAGGAATTAGATGCCTCGTCAAGGCGTGAGTATACGGAGAAATCAATACCCATTCTTCTGCATCAAGTATATTTCTTATATGCTTGACTGTTGCAGTTTTTTATAGACAGGATGCACCAAATGGTGATTCTTAAGCACTATCATCTTTTGAGGTGGAAGCGCTATTGTTTCTCAACTTCAGCAACTGAATCCATATGCTCAGAGTACCTTAATAAATTACAGTAAGTACATTAAGTTATCATTAAACGTTTTGAATTCCTGTAGACAACTTACAAACGAATATCTAGATGCCAGTTCTAGGGCACGCAGGCTCGCCTCGACTACAGAGGGGTTGTTGGCCGGTTCAGATTGTGATATTGAGGATGTAACGGTAGACGATTACCAGGTCTACTTACGACACATGATCTATCACTTACGGTCACTTTCCTATGTTAACCAGATCTTAAACGTAACAATCATTATTTAAAACTTATCTCACCTTTAGATGGTCAAATGGTTTCCGTACCACTACAGAGACAAACTAAAAGAAAGTTTGAACGTAAGCAGAGATAATTAGTTACTTATTTACTTATTTATTATTCTCAATGGTGTTATGTGGTTGATTCCCAAAGCAGAGCGTCGATACAATTTAATGTTTTCCGTCAAACATTCGTCCGGAACTTGTGAAGAACTTCCACTTATGCTCATTGGTTATTTTGTGATAATGAAAGGTTGTTAAGATTCCCCAAACTGTTATCTTTAGGTGAATCAGAAACCGTTGTAGAACATCAACGTTGATGTTCTATGTCGAAGTGATATGGAGCCTACTATAGTTAGACGAGAATGGTGACGAACCAACTAACGCTGAAGTCACACCTCGCGACCGGTCCTTACGTGGTTTGAACCATCGACGCATCAGAGGATCATGTACGCTATGGAGACTGTACTTTTATACTCAATCTGCTGTATTCCGCCCGTCACTCTTGATAATATTTCGTGCTGCAGACATTGACAACATATATAAAATCAAGTCAATAACTGGTTTTGGAGTACATTACTTGTATATTCTTGACATCTTTGAGTATATCTTCACTAAAACGTACGAAATGAGAAAATCACAAGGATCCGTTTTTCGTAGCTTCTTTCTAAATGAATATAAAATCAATTTTCACAAGATATGTGTAAGACCTCTTTTAAGTACTGTTCTTTCTTATCTTTCAACATGTGTTTATCGGATATACAGAAGGTCAAAACAGTACAAGGGGATTTCCTTCGCAAAGTTCTTAAAACGAACCTGCAAATTGACTATCGCTTCCAAAGCGACGGCTTGGGTCGAATTGGTTTCGTTACTTTGAGCTGCTCAAAAATATTTCTTTCTCCACCTATGATATCGTACATACTCAAGGTCTACATAAGACCTTCGGGATAAGATATCTACAGTCAAAGTTGAAAATTACAGACCCAAAACGCGAGAAAACCTCTTCCTTACCAAGTGTGCATTGATATGGAATGGTCTTACATCTGAAAACATATGACAGATGGGCTACATACGTTTGTACAACTTCTTGGTGAATACTTTGCTCTCACTTATCTAGCTCGAGCAAACACACCTTAGCTCTTCTAAGACAACATGGGCTCTCCACTTGTTTAAATCATATCAGACACCAAGTTTAGTTCGCTTTGCTTTTCTTCTTTACTGTTGTATTTCACAGACAAATTGAATGACGAGGTGTTACGCTTATATGTTTGGTGCATTCTAGTACCAACGTTCATATGTTTAAATAATAAATACATGTCCTTAATTTTTATTCGAAGTAGACGTACAACTCACTCCACCTACCTACGTCACCCAACAATACTGGATCACAAATGATGCTCACTTCTATCCTGATAAGTTGCCAAACGAACCTCTCAACCTCCTGCCTAATATCAGTGACCTTGCGTCTGCGAAGCTTGTAACCCATCATCTGGTTAGGATACCACAAAGTGTATCATGCACCAAGTTAACGTGGGATCTTCGCATATTTTTTATCAGCTTTCAACATTCATGGGGATTTTGCTGTCTCACCATTGATTTGATCTCACTACTCATCGCATTGTTGCTTACTATTATGTTCCTGCACTTTTTCGCCTACTTCGGCAAACATTTGTCTCGTATTATAGCCTAAATCCTCATACCTCATTGTGCATTCCCCAGGGCGACAAAATTTTCACGATGCCGTTTTTAAAACACCATAAAAACTGCTCTCATAGTACAGTGATAATGAATAAACCCAATAATTACTTTCTAGGACATCTGTAAATGTGTACTGCCTTATATTTTCATTGGTTAGATCTATTTAACGGCACTGCTTGTGAAGCATCTTATATGCTAATCTATGTTTCGAATTGTTGATCATATCCACAAAGATGGTGTATACTTGCTATGTTGGAAATCTATATTATTATTACTCAAAAGAGTAACATAAGCAACATACTAAATAGTAATTATGGGACTGGAAACGGTCAGCACAACTTATTATCGTTTTCAACTAACACAGAAGTTTGCAACTAGTGTACAAACAAGACCACAGAGAGTCAGAGCGGTTGTGAGCTTTTAATGCTATCGTTGGTGTGTTTGCCTATTGGTCATGCCTTACAACCTCATCGAACCATTCAACTGTGAGTGAAATACACCATAGAAATATCCAACGCACTATCGGTGATAAACGATGTGTCGATAACTTGGTGTGAATATACACTAAAAACTACTTCATTAAAATTACGAAAAATACGTAACACGTTTACATTTAGCTATTCAAAGACTTTCAGAACACGAAATTACTGCGAATACCGGGAAATTTCAACTACATTGAAGGGCAAAACAGGCAATTAGTATGACAATGAGGAGACTGCATTCAGTATAATGAAGTTAATATATTCAAACCCCACGATTCTTCTGCAATATCGTTTTAGCATAAACATATATTGCACTTGCGTAGAAGCCCCCTCATTCATACATGGCATGTGACAATAATTCCTTGTTCTGACGCACGTACAACTTAACTTCCTTGCACCACATTTTATCGACGATTGTTATGTGTATCATCTCAAATTTCATATTACTGCCATTATTACTTTTTTTACGGTTGGCCATATTTACATCTTTGCTACAGTATAGTATCTCACTGATGGTCCCAACTATGTTTCACCATAGCGCTAACTTTGGTGGTTGCCATATTCATTCTTCATGCCTGCTTAGAATGTATTGAGTTAATATATCGCTTGGCGCTTGAACTAATCACAAAGCTTGTCGGCAGTTTCTATTCTTCTTCACCTATAGTCAATTTTACAGTCCTTAGAAGTTTATAGAAGTGACATTGATGTTACGAAGTGCTATGTTCCAGAACAACTCTCCTTGCTGAACAGAAAAACCGTATGCAACCACAGTTAGGTTCTACTGAGTTACTTGATTACAAATTAGGCTGTATGGCTTCAATCCAGAGCCATTCAGTCATTCATTTTTTTGTATACACTTTGTGTATTTTATTCCCTAAAAGTTATGACAACATAAACTCTATGTTGTTCTGATTCATATGCGCTTTACTGACTTACTTGAATGAGCGAAACGTGATTTTGTTATAATATGTGGGTATAACGTGATTGCGCATGTTGTTGATTGTATGCACACTTTCCTACCCGGAATGCAAAGAGATTCTCAAAGGCTGGCACGCCTCTGTGTATATTTCAGAACTCCAGGATCGACCAAACATTTTCTTCGAAGAGAGATTTCTCCAGGATCAAATGGTTTGTATTATTTCCTAAGACATTAATAGTTAGTCATCACTTTTGAATATAGAGTCTTATATGGACTTTAACAGTGGTTTGTGACGGTTGGATTTCAACCAACCTTGGATCACAAATGGGATCGCGACTTATCTATACTCTATCCACACCATAATGAGCGACATGGCTTCAGGTGTCCGCCTACCATATGATATGAAGGAGCAAACACATCATCTACAAATCCTCCGCGGTGGACAGACAAACCTTTATGCATCTGATATGGAACACATGATGAGACAAAAGCTCAAACTGGATGAATTACGTCTGTACTTGTTTATGGCACAACTCTGCAACATTTGCTTTCTTTACTGAAGATGGATCTTATTTTCCAAAGAATTTTCGCTTTCATTGGTGTTAAATTGCTCCATACTAATTTCTGATAACGTACGATACTTTATTTCAGTAAGTTTCACATACCTTAAGAATTCTCGAAATGTGACTGTCAAACATGGATTCGCAACTTTCCTTCCTAATTTACTGGTCAGAAAAGAATGAGTCGGAAGACACTGAATTAAGTAAAGCGATTACTTTCGAACATTTCCTTATCTCACAACCCTATAAAAAGAAAGCAGACAATCAGATACTGTCAAATGTATCTAGCTATTTGATGAGTGATTGCCGATGCCTGATTTCCAACATTTAAACGCTCTAGTGATCCTACTAAAATAAAGAGTGGGTTTTATTTGCAAGGTCTGTGGCAAAGTTGGCTGTGAATGAAACCTAAGTGTCGAAGATACCATCAGCATTGTAATTTGACAACTCTGTAGTGACCGGCCAGTCTCGATAAGAACACGATTGGAATAATAGAAACAATTATTATTATTGTAACCAATTGTACCAGAGATTGTTTTACTGTATTTGTTTAACTGTATCCGTTTCACTTCTTGTTCCATATACCGCCTGGTTTGGTTCGAGCTTGCTCACGCACTGCCTGTTCGCCTGTACTCTTTGGCACGTCTCGGTATTATTTCGATACCACGAGATCGCCAATAAATATACTTTATCTGGACTAGTAAAGCCTTCTGGTTTACGGGCTATCAAGGGAACCAAGTCATATTTGTACGCGTAATCGAATAGTAGTGGTGATCATAGTCCGTCCACGACTCGACATCCACTACAACTGGTGAGCCGTTATTGGAACACGCAATACAGCTGGTAACCCAATCCATCGAGCACAAGTCAAACTTGGCCAATTCTCCAAACCAGATCAATCTGGTGAGTCTATTTATCTATCCACATCTGTTGCATATATTCGTATTGATTTTTTTTTCAATATATAATATTTTGGCAACTTAATATGGTAGATAACGAAAAGAATAACATAAATATGATAGACTCCGAGATACAGGTTATCAGTTTCCGACCGGTTCCTTTCATCCCCCATGATCCAGAAGTCTGGTTCGCGGCACTGGAATCTCAATTTGAGATCCGCCGCATAACCAATCAAAGGCAGAAATACGCCTACGCTTTGGAATCATTGCCCGGGGATCACCTAACCGCTGTCCGTGAGGTTGTCCTCAATCCCAACGTTCCAAACGTTTATGACCGTCTTAAGGATGCCATCCT